AGACTCAACTAAAGCACTCTGGGAATGGTGTTGAGCGAAGTAAGAGCAACGGAATTGTAAAGAAAACCAAGATTGATCATATCAAAGGAGACATCAAATCAAAAAAGAGCTTAGACCGACCCACAGGCGACGTAGATGCATCCAGGGACAAAAACAGTTCTCAAAACGCACCATCCAGAAATATTCGCCAAACCAAAGTCAAGAGTCAAGCCAAAACATATCCAACGAAGGCCATGGAGCATCTTAGAGATGCATCAAAGATAGGTCATATAGAGGAGCTCATGGACAGTCTGGAGATTCATGGGAGTTCTGCAGGACTCTCCCCTCAGCAAGGCTGCGGGATCAGCATGCTCATAGACAGTCTGGAGGAGTTCAGAAGAAGTGGCGATCGCCCTAAGACCTCGATTCGATCCTCGCCTGAGGAGGCCAGAACAGCAGGTTCTCTGTTGGCTCTGCTTCTACAAAGTGAAGCTCTCAGTGGGTGCGCAGTAGAACTTCTCATCCTTCTCTCTCTACTAACACGTCATCCCACCTATCAGTCGTCCTTCTTTCTTCCAGTCGAATTCACCCAACTGAGACTCGCATTGCTCCACCGAGATGATGGAATCCGAGCCGCCTGCTGTAGCTTGCTGGGCCACCTGGGTTTATGTGTGATACGGGTTATCAACGAACCAAAATTTGACCTGTTCCAGGACCTGTTAGGTTGCCTATGCGATCCTGCCCCGTCTGTTCGTAGAGCGGCCTGCAAGGCTGTGGGAAACTGGTTGAATGAAATCAGAAAAACCAGTGACAATATCCCTAGCAAAGGTCTCAAGAGTACAACTGACATGCAGACATGGTCAGTACAAGATAAACCGAGGAGGACGGAGGGCGTCAGGTATATGGAGGCGGACGTATGGATGCAGCTCGCCATAGGAGCCGCTCGTCCTCTGGTGTCTCTGCTGTCAGATGCTGATAATGTCATTCGACAGCACTGCTGTGGGGCCTTGGCTAATCTGGCTGCCTTCAGTGGAGGAGATGGAGCTCTTCTCAATGCAGACGCTCCAGGCTTGATTCTCCAGACTGCCTGTAATGATTCCCATCATGCAGTGCGACGGGCAGCTGTGGCCACTCTGCGTGTGTTTAGCCAGCAAAACACATTACTGCAGGTAAGAGCAATGTGAATCTGTTTTGACTGGCATGTTTAGATATTTTCTGCCTTGCGAGAGATTTAAGAGAGTCGTGGCATTCATTATGCCACAGCAAAATGTATAGTTCTGCAGAGAATGCAGTTCTTGGGGAATTGCATTTAAAGAGTGAAACAAATGAATATAGAGCTGCTTTTGTGCTGTATTGCATCATTTTGACAATTGTGCAGAAAAAAAATTTGAAAGACAGACAAAGCTGGTGGAGAAAAAAAAATCCTTGCTGTCATTTTCACATTTTCCCCCTTCCCTTCCTCAAGGCTCTGAGGTCTCTAGACGCGGGAAGAAAACTCTGTCGCTCATCCCAAAGCTCTTTATTTCAGAGGGATTATCAATGGCTTGTCAGCAAGTTGGACGGGTCAGTCGAAGGAAAAACATAAATGTCAGCTTCATAGTTTGTTTGTGAGGAAAAGGACATCATTTTGCATGATCTAAATATGGTTTGCTGGCTGGGAAAGCTTGCTGGTTTTTATGTTTATTTGATCTGTGATCAAAAGGTTCTGACTGAAATTGAACGTGTTGTGTGAAAATGATCTAAATAATAATGTGATAAGTGACTAAATAACATCTGAAAAATAAGAGAGAATTTTACAATAAAATGTACATTACTATCTATTTCACATTTAATGTTTTTGATGTAAATAATTGTATTTTTCATTCTTGTAAATTGTATTTGAACCTGGGGATTTTGATTGTTCATTTTCTGCTCATTAAAATGCACTTGGCTTATTTTTATATGTGACTATTTTGCAACCTTGCGTGTATTTATTTAAAACCGTTTTATATAATTTCTGATGTGGAATAAAATTGTAGATTTTAAGTCGGTGTGCTTCGAATGTGTTTTAGAAATTTTCATGATGTAGTCTAAAGGTAATCCGTGCCGGATCTCATGAAATTTAGTTTTTATTTGTCACTTTATTTTCTGATAAATAAATAAAATAGATCAATAGAATTTCATTAAAATATTTCTGTATGCGTGATTGTACATTTCGTTTTATTTGTATTCACTCGCCAAATCATCTGTACTTTTTAGGATGCTTATTTTATGAGAGATAAACGCCTTGAAACGTACAAACTTTTCATTTCGGGAGTGATTGTAAAATGAAAAGCATTTTATGTGTGCCTGAAATCAACCGTTAATTAACACTTTCGTTTAGAAATAATAATTTTATCTAAATTACTGCTATTATTATTGCACATGCATAAAAATAAAAGTGTAAGCTCGGGAAAATCAGATGGACAGCCTAAAATAGCGCGAAAATTACTCTGCAGATTTGTTCTTGTTATTACACCGTTTCTTATTATAAATCTTCATTTTTTTGTCATCTAACTAAATTAGTCAGTTTAATAAGGGAACATCGAATTTAATTAGTCTTATATAATTATTAAAATATTGGTTCCAAAATGACAGTCCCATTATTTCTCTCAACACTTTCTTTCACAGAGAAATATTTAATTGTTTTATTTTTTAAAACATGTAAGCTGTCTGATATTTTTAATTCACGTTTCCGCCTTTTATGGTGTGCGTTTGTGTAAAATAAAACAAATACAAAGATTAAATTTAAAGACAGCTGGTTGAGAAAATAGGATATTTTTTATCAATAACATCAGGACTGATCGGTGTTCACAATCTATAAATAGCCTGTGAACCGGACCCGTAAAAACGGATAGGCTACATAATTATGAATGAAGCGCAACACAGAAATAAGACTTGAAGGAACGAATGTGGAGAAAAATCACATTTTCCCCTGATTTTTTTTTTTTTTTTTGCACCTTAAACATTTTGCTTATGTCTCTTTTTATGAAAGAATAAAACGTAAATGTTTGATAATCTAAAAACACTCCCGGGATACAGTGAAAAATATAGTTAATAATAAAACACAGCTGTCTCGGAATTCGCTGTATTTTAGACATCCTCATACTGTTATAATAATAGTGTTATAAGCTTTTTATTTCTATTTTCCACTTCCCTCTCTCTCTCTCACTCTGCCCCTCTCTTTCTCACACACACACACACACACACTCACACACACTACGGACTCGTTAGGCTTTTCCCTCCTCGTCGTGCATCAGTGAGAAGAGGGAAAAGCTCTGCTCCATATATTTGGCTTGCAAAGCTGTAAACAATTTTCCAGACAAACAAGGGATAAACTCCGTTTATCCGTTATACTCAGGGTCTACCGATTAAGCTCTAAAAATCGCACATGAAGCCATCATCGCCAACGTGCACTGCTGCTGACACAAATCACTTTATTTGAATTCAATGGAATAACAGGAAACACAAAGTAAATAATCGGAGACGATACATTGAAATGCCTCGTACAAAAGTGAGTGATCTTAGTATTTATAGCTGGTGTAAACTCTTGGAAATCGTGTGCCTTCATTTTGGGTTGTTCAAAATAAATGAAATGAATTTTTAGAAACAATAAAATAATGATTTAACTTCACAAAATGACCGTACAACACAGCGCATAATTAATTATATTTCATAATCATGATTGTATACCGCCAAGGAAAGCATACTTGAAGTCGATATGCTAAGCTCTCTCAGTACCTAGGTTGCTTATTTAGAGGAATTCAACGATATTTGTAATATTGCTACGTAGTATTAAGGTACGCACGACACTTCGGTAAAATCAAGTCATAAAAAAAGAATAAATAGGAAGAATAAATAAAATCTAATCAAGGCCTGATTTACAGTTGATTTCTTTCTTATTGTTGCATTTGTGCTAAATGCATGTCTCCTATTTGAGCAAGTAGAAAAATCTGTCACTACACAGGTTACCAGAATAAACTCCTGAAATCCACTAATCTGTAAACATGAAAATCATAACATTTTTCAAGGATTGTGCATGATCGCAATTGGAATAAAATCAAGAAATTAAAATTAAAGATCATAACTTCAGTCATTTACATTGTTAATGAAATATTGCTAAAAAGCTGGGAAGTCTGCAATTCTAAAGCCACCACAATCATTTCAGTGATTATTCGAAAAAGCTGATTCACTACAAAGATTTTTACTTTCTGTCCCTCAACACACACTTGTACATTAGAGCAAACAAGCTTTATAAAATCACAAACCCTGATTGTAGTCGCAATAACAGCAGAGACATTGGGCCAAACAGTAGTTTGTGAATCAAATGCCACTCATTCATCTCTAATGGAACGTGTTGGTCAAGAGAATACAAAATAGGACTCCTTAAGCAAGAAAGACTTCTGCGAGAACAGGTCATTCGGACGAAAGGAAAAACAAACATTCTTTGTAAAGAGCCATGAAATCTTCTGCATGCAAGAACCAAAATACAGGAAGTCAACACACATAACATTATTAGGCAGTGCCATATCTTCAGCATCGAGTTACAAACTGACATACCTCCATGACTTTGGACATAAATCGTATTACCCTGAGCTGCAGGACTAATCTAAAATGGGGGATTCAAAAACACAATATCAGGTTCAGTATTCCTGAGGGAAATTCAATTTGAGAAGTGCTTCCCCTGAAACTCAATATGTAGGAGACAGATTGCTTTTAATATCAGTGCTTGTTCATTAATTGATATATGAAGAAAAAAAAAGGAACGACCAATGTTGTACATCGCCGGTATTAGTACCATAAAAGTTGATAAAAAAAATCAATTAAACTGAAAAAAAGAAACAGCCTCTGCATGCAGGTGGTATGCGGAACCTGTGATATTACCTTACAGCCTTTTCTAAAATAAATAAAGATGCGTTTAAGTCGATCTTGCATTATTCAGTGTTGATTTCTGTCAGTCCTGAACTGTAAACGCTCTGTTGTTAAAGCTCATTTATGGAAACAAGAGGATGAGCCGTCTCGCCACTCTTGGAAAAACAAGAGAAAAGGAAAAACGGCTGTCATTACAGTCAAAGACATAATAATCACAGTGCATATCGACTGATTTGGAGTTATTTCTGAGAAAAGTGGAAGTCTGTGCTGCAGCTGTTGATGGACTTTGTCAGTTTGTAACGAAAATTAAATGACTGAGTAACGTGCAATAGTACAACCTCCACCATATCCTAAAAAAACACATTCAGTCAGAAAACATTCCAATCTCCTTTGCCTTTCAGACTGCTATCAATTCTACTTGCAGGACCATCGCCAGGTGGTCGAGCTTTTGGTCAGGCGCTGGTTTCCTGCTTGAGGCGTTGGCTACGGGCCTTGTACACCTCGATCAGGAGGTCTTTCACGTACTGGATCTCCCGTTCCACCGATTCTGCCTTGTCCCGGAGCTCACGATTTCTGCCCTCCAGACCATGAAGCTGTTCCTCCAATGAGTCCAACTCTGCTCGTTTCCGTTGACGATATCTGTTCAAAATGATCAAATGCAGAATCAAGTCAGAAATTGGCGCGTTAAACAAGGCGTGGTCACAAGCCTCCAAGAATATTTAATTTAATGACCAAATGGAACTTCACAAACTTGACAACTTTTTATGCTCTCATCTAGAACACTGTTATAACTATTAACACTCTACCTGTGAGCTGCAGTCTTGTTCTGATCCCTCTTCTTCTGTTTGCGTTCACCATGGTGCCCTTCGATTAGAGGCACCTCTAGGTCTGATTTCACAATGCAGGGGTCTTCTTTCAGCACGCAGGCTCCTCTGGCACACGGGGACCCCATTTCAGGTCTGTGGCGGTCACCGCTCAGGCAGTCGGGGCCTTGGCCTTCGAGAAAGCCGCAGTGGAAGTTATGTTGCCGGTGAATCTCTAAGCTTTCCTCCTTTACTGGCTCATTGATGGCCCCAAGGAAACTGTGATAGGCCTCTTCTTGAGACGCATTTTGGAGAAAACAGCTTTCGCTGGGTTCTGTCTTCCAGGATATGTTGGCCTTCATGTCAGAAGCACCATTCTTCGGTTCACTCATCATCTCCATCTCTGTGCTTCCTCCTATGCCACTTAAATTGACTTCTCTGATGCCATACATCATTTCATCTTTCTTATGGGGAATTTGAATTGGTCCACTAAAATTGTAGCCGCCACCAGCCTTGTTCGCGCCGACGGCCTCTTCTGTGTAGCGGCAATTCTTCTCCTCTTTGGGTAAAATGGCACACCTTCTGATCTCTACTGTACTGCCTAGGCAGTAGCCTTTGCCTACCACCCGTTCATCTTCAGCACAGCTGTAGCTCCCACCAGGCGCAACAGCTGAGTTACCTGAGGAATTTCCTTTGGAACTCCAGATGCTACTCTCGTAGCTGTCACCCACCCTCACCCCATCGGAAACTCTCTTGCGGCTGCAGACGTTGCTGTTGGGGCGGCTGCAGCTGTAGGGGGCATGTCTTGGAATCTTGGTACGGCCAATGGGACCCCCACAGAAGCTCAGCAAGTCAAGTTCCCCAGTTGCCAGGGTAACAAGTAGAGGGCTGGATTCGGATTGGTTGGAAGTAGAATATGATGCGTAGGGCAACTGGTAATACGACGATGGACCAACTGCAGTTGGACCCTTGTCGCATTTGCCCAGTTTGGAGGCTTTTTCTGGGAGTGGGTCAGACAGGAAGTAATCCTCCAGCTGAGCAAGCTCCTCTTGCAGCAGAGAGGTCATGACCTCCAAATCTGAGGGCACCTGGATGTCATTCTGTAGGGGCGAGGGGGGAAGGGATGCATTTGGGGAGGGAGAGGAGTGAGGGGTTGGGAGGTAAGAGGAGAAATCTACTTCTTCCGTCATCCAGTCACTAAGACCATCACCTATGGGGAAAACAGAGGTCAACATGTTAATCACTGGCCTATAGATACAATGTAGCGCAATTATTTAAACCATATAAACAACTATACTGGCACCATTTTCACAACCCGAAAAAAAAAAAAAAAAAAAAACAATAACAAAAAAAATTACAAATCGTTTACAAACATTTACTAAATCCGAAATGCGAAAAGGCAATATTAAACTAGCACATTATTAACCAATAATATAAAATAGATCCATGTTGGTAGTTTTACTCACTGTTCAAGGAGAACGAAATGTGCTGCAGTGCGGTGCCCACCTGAAACTGGGAAAAATAAAAAACTGTATTCACTGCAACTCACCAATTAAGTGCTGGTTCTCCTCTGGCCCCTCCCCTCTGCGCCCCTCCGATTGGCTGTGGTTAGCCTGTGGGTGAGAGAGAGTGAGGGGGTCTGCCGGGCAGACGAGTAGAGTCTTCCAAATGGGTGCTGACATTGTCATCATCCTGTCCGTTGGTCCTACGATTCAAATGCCTGAGCTTAGAGTGCACGACAGTGAAGTTTGAGAGTTGAGCCACAGAAAACAGGGCTTGGTGCGCATTATGAAACCTAAAAAAAGAGGGAAATAGTGATGAGGGACAGTGCGGTAAAACACGTTGTCTATGGAGGTTTCGGTCTTTTGCAAAGGCAGCATCACACCAACCATGATTCTTCAGTTACTAAAGTAGGATGAAGCAGAGGGGAGAATTATGTCCTAGTTGGTTGGACTTTCCATTCTAAACATGTCTCCGCTCTTCAAAAATATCTAAAAATATCTCCCAGCTATAAATCAATATTTTCAGAGTTTTAACAATGAGGGACCCAGTGTGCAAACTGAGTAAAGTAACTATAACACCCCTTCATTCTGTTACAGCATCAGCTAAGACACACTGGTGATTAGCGAGGGACCAATTTAGAAAACTACCACTCTTCCATCCATCAAAGTCCCTTGTGCCCACTTAGGGGAGCTCCACTGAGAACCTAGAGAAGCAGGCGAATGCTCTACTTGTGGGAAATTTATTAGCAGCCTAAATATACAAGACACACAAATGTAAAGCACCTTTAGACAATATTTCAGACCGTGCCAATAATAAATCATAAAATAAAGAATAAGAAAAAAACAAGTTCAAATGTAATTTTTAAAAATGTGTTTATATAGTGCTGACTTCTAAAAGCTATTTAAGCTTTCTTTTGTTTAGATGATGTACACTAAGGTACCAACAAATGCTCTAGTGCCCTTTGCACCTACACCGAAGTCCAGTTTGTTTACAATATCAGGTCACAAACAGAACAGCAATGTAAACTGACAGAATCATCAGAGATGACTTTGGAAATGTCAGACAGCAGTATCAAAGCTATTATCTATAAGATTTTTTTCTTTTCTTTTTTTGGAATCATGCGTTGTGAACAATTCTTTCAAGCAGTCTGGCAGGTGCGCCATGAAGCAGACGTCTCTAAGCTGGATGTCTGAACTTGGCCAGCACGTGGCTTACAATCAATGACGTAATGCAAAACCAAATAAAGCAAATCTTCCTGAAAGCTTTAAAAACGACTCATGTTTTCTCAAAATGGCAGTTTTAAGCATAAATACATCATGTTTCATGCAACTTGAAACAATACATTAATGTGGCAGATATAAAAGTCAACGACACAAACAGTAGCTAGGAAATAATGACAGGCGAACAGGTGTAGCCCCAGTACTATTGTTCCAACAGATAAGCAATACTTTGTATAAAAAAAGCCAAATATCTTCATTAAAACCCCAAACAAGCTGCTCAACATCATATCACCTCAAAGTGCGTAAAATAATTAATTGTGTGTCAAATAACATGAAACATGTCAAAATACTAATAAAGTAGGTCAAATTGATGAATTTGGGTTCATTCCTAAAGCTGCAAAATAGAGTAGAAACAACTAAAAGAGCTGAAAGGAGTTTCTGAAACTTTTCTAATAAGCAAAAAACAACTTGCATAAAACATCGCCCGGATATCTATAACAAGTGACAACACGCTAAACAGCACTTAAACAAATCAATAAATCCAAAAAGTGCAAAGCCAAGAGACAAAAACAACAAACGCCTGAAACAAAGCACATGAAGTAATGAGTTGTACTTACTCCATTCTTGCTTAAATGTGTTGAGCTTGGGGTGCGTTGCAAGAGCAAAGCACGGTGTTTCTTTAGGATCGAAGACTGTACTAAATTAAAAAGCCATGTCTCCTTCGGAGTGTCTCGGACTGAAGTGCTGTTGGTCTTGCTTTGTTGTGATGGAGTTGATGACTGAGAATCGGCTAATTGAGTCAATGCATCAGGTCACCCACACCTAGCAACCAGCTGCGTCACGCGGTCAGCCCCCAGTGCTAAAGATTCCTCCGCCCAGCGGATGCACTGGGCGAGATAAATTTCACACTTCGGACCGGTGAAAACGCCCACAAGTTCTAGCATTCACTTTTCTCAGCGACTTCCGAGAAAACACAAAATCCCGTCGGCATATCCCTCAACCTGAAAACACTATAGTTTTGAGGCTGAGAGAGGAACACGCTTCTGTTCGCGAGAGTTTGAATGTTCATCCTACAGTTGCAGTATCTGGTTACACATGAAATATTCATATCATAACACGCATAGACGTTCAAATATGTATTGTTTCACAGGGACTACTTGATTTCTTCCAGCGAGGAAGAACACTTTCTGCTACCCAGGAGATACGTGGCTGTTGTTGCAGGTTAGTTGCATCAGCGCTGCAAGCTGCCAGCAGATTCGCTGAACGGAGCGATCCAGACGCGCGGCGATTGGCTGGAGAACAACTGTTGTGCTTTCTCATTGGCTGGCGCTGGAGAAACGTTGCTTCCCAATGGTCTTCAGTTTTCCACTCTCCGTGCACATGTTTCACGTAAACATCCCGAGAGCAAATTCTGAAAGTGGTTAAACTTTCATGTGACGGAAGGGCAGTTTACGGAACTTCACTGACAAAACATTGTAACATTTATTGTGGCATTTGCTGATACGAGTTTTGTACGCTTCCCTGTTAAAATGCTGCACTTTGCAGTTCAGTCGAGTAAGTTTTGCCCAGTGTTCATTCACACTTCGAGGGTGAATACAGCGTGTGATATAAATTTAAACTTGACAAGTTAATACCTTAGTTGTAGAAAACATGCTTTAGCTCAGGTTATGTTAACAAAGTTGCTAACTTATTCATGTATTTAAATGTCTCCTGATACCTTTTTTAATAAGGAGAAATTTAAAATCCCCGTTAAACTAGCTCTGTTTACATATGCAGAATATTGTAATGTAGTTTGTGTAACAGGTGGAATCCTTATCGTCATTATTTCCACTTTAACATCAGCATTTCAGTGTCTACTCTTGGGAGATACGGTGTTTTAATTGTACAGAGCCCAAACACTATCCAGCGAGAGTGAGGAGGGATGTTTTATCATGTTTTGTTCGTCAACCGCTGGCGCCACATAATGCTGAGCTATTCAAGTCATGCGCGGTCACCGCGAGACGAGACAAATTACCCTCAAACGCGCAAGCACATCCCGTTTAACTCCCGTTAATAACGGATTTTTCAAAGAATCGAGCTTTGTTTTCTCCCCTCAGCAAATCCTAAAGCTGATTGAAGGAGCTATGTCTTCCTGTTGCTATAGTAATAGCGAACACTGCCCCCTATTTTAGACATGTTTTCTGGTTGCTGTTGCCATGGGATTTGCAACGAGCGCTCTCGCTCCCTCTTTCGGCCCGTGTTTTCAGTTTTGTCTCTGTTGGATAAAAACGACAGTCCCTGAAAAGTTGCCCAAAGTCCTTTAACAAAGCCCAGCCTCAACAAGTGGCTTAATTTTGTTGAACTTAACCGTCTTCTCATTGACAACCCCCTCACAGTCGACATGACAAAAGTTGAGCTGCTGCCTACAAGTGGCTTTTTACACGACAGGGGTTAGCCTTATGTTTTATGCTAGGTCGTTCAAAAGCACATTTGACAAAGCACTGAGAAAGCCAACCGACAGAGAATGCTGTGAAATTGTCAGAGGAAATATATTCCGTGGCTTTAGCACAAGGTTAACGTCTTCCTTGACTGAGGAGAAATTGATTTTATTTACACTTAATAGCCCAGCGTGAACCAAGATGACACCTGCTTTCTCGAGGAGCAGTCAGAGAGCGACGGGATCAAAGAGGGGCTTCTGAAGGTACTGTGATACTGTAATTCCTCTTGTGAGTCGGCTCAGCCTCGCAGTTGTAGAAGTGAGGCCTGATGCAATCTTCGTGACCGCAGTCGTAACGTTGAAGAGACTGAGATAATAATGGTTGTTGAAGTGTGGGATCTCTCCCAGGAAAGCGCTGACTCTCCCAACTCGCCGTGTCTTAATTGGTCCGTGGGGGCGCCCTGTTTGCGCAAAGCGTGAGAGAAAGTCAGCAGTACACACACACACACACACACTGGCACTTCTGCCACAGACTGCTCCACCGCTGTTGGGCCATCATACTTTGAGTTTCTGTTTGTATTGAGATTTTTTCCCTCTCCACCTTAAACAGCTGATGGTGCAAATAAAGATGTAGGTCCTGGCCGTGGAGTTAATTAATCACAGCTTTTGAGGATTAAAAACGCTGGTTGGAGTGATAAATCTGTTCCCCTCCATAAATCCTGCCGTCCATATGTGAAACAATTAAAATAAGCTCATTCAAACGCGAGATGCAGTTTTTAGAGTCTAAATCGATAAACACTTTTAAAAGCAAATCTTGTGATTTTTGTGTGTGTGATGTTTGTTTGTTTTTTTACATTCACTGTGTTTTGGCCCCATGAAAGTCACCCCTCAGGCAGTCTGTATGTTAGTCAGAGAATAAGTAAGGAGTGGGAGCAGACGCACCATGCCAAGTTCATGTATAGCACACATTAGTAACAGTTACATCACAATTTCATCACCATCTCCTTCTCAATTCATTGTTGTCTTTTTTTTCATTCCCCTGTACAAGTGATCAGATCATTTACAGTTTCGATAGCTATAACTTTTTTTGGTTTGGTCCAACAGGAAACATCTATGAGATGAACCACAATAGGGCCTGGATATGATTTACAGCAGTAGATGGGTTGTGCTTGGCGGTTCAAAGACAAGTCAATGGCTACCAAGACATTGATAATCAAAAGAGGAGGATAAAAAGAAGACTACATACTGTACACAGGCAGAATAAAATGAATGCCTGTGGCTCTTGATGATCACGGTTGTTACAACCAAAACATCTGGTCTGTGCAAAATTTAAAAGGTCCTTAGCATATTTACTACAATTTTGACCACAAGTCTTTTTGTTTCATTTTAATGTTTGCAAAGGCTCAAACTCATATGTGAGCTGCTAACTTGACATATTAACATATTTTATTAAGTTTCAGGCATCAGTATAAGCACTATAACTATTTTGATAGACAACTGGCCTTGTAAACAAACAGTGTCAGCTCACAGCACATGACTTAATCACAATTTCGTCATTATGCGACAGGACGCGTGAGCTCCAGACTGTCATGAACACACATTTCATAGACCATTTGTCAAAGCTGTAGATTACAGGTAATAATGTTGTTATTAGCACTGTTTCTTGCACGGAACTATTGTTTTATTTATACCTGAATTGACAGAAGCTATAGTAATCTAATACTTTTAAAGGGTTATTTTAACCTAAAAAAGGGAAAATTCTGTTATTAATTACCCTCATGTAGTTGCAATTCACTAATACCTTTATTAATCTTCAGAACACAAAATATTTTAGTGGAAATGCGAGAGCTCTTTGTCCCTCCATAGACAACAATGGTCCAGAGATGTTCAAAGTCCAGTAAAGGAGCCAAAACATTGTCAAAACATCCCATGTGACTTCATTGTTTCAACAGTGAGAGAAGATGTAGGTAAACATGGACACATTTAAAGTGTCCATGTTTTTTTTTTTTATAAAGAATGTTGAACATCTCACACACCTTGATGTTTATGTCAGAAAAGCTCTTAAAGTTCTTAATTTGTGTTCTGAAGACGAACCAAGGTCTCAGGGGATTGGAACAATGCATGATGGTCTGCATGGGGAAGATCATTTCACCTGAGCCTGTTGTTTTTATTTTTATTCTTTTTTTATTAAACATTTTGATTTTAAACAAAGCAAGAGATACACCAAACAAAAAGTGTAAAATAAAATAAAAAACAGTAATAATAAGTACAAGAGCCTGTTTTTCTATCATCAAGTATAGTTTCTGCTAAGAATCTGCTTAAATGTACTTAAGAAATGAAAATACGCTGAGTAAATGAACAGCAAGGATTTCATTTGGTTAAACTATCGTTTAAAATGATTTAAATAAGACAAAACAACCATTACAAGAAGCAAAAATATTTTAATAACATACACTCACTTTATTAGGTACACCTGTCCAACTGCTCGTCAACACAAATTATTAATCAGCCAATCACATGGCAGCAAACCAATGCATTTAGGCATTTAGACATGGATGATCTTACAGTTCAAACCCAGCATCAGAATGAGGAAGAAATGGGGATTTAAGGGACTTTGGATATGGCATGGTTGAGGCGGATGGGCTACAGCAGCAGAAGAGCACACCAGATGCCACTCCTGTCCGCTAAGAACAAGAAACTGAGGCTGCAATTCACACAGGCTCACCAAAACTGGACAATAGAAGATAGGAAAAATGTTGCCTCGTGTGAGAAGTCTCAATTTCTGCTGCGACATTCAGATGGTAGGGTTAGAATTTGGCATCAACAACATGAAAGCAATGATCCATCCTGCCTTGTATTAATGGTTCAGGCTGGTGGTGGTGGTGTAATGGTGTGACGGATATTTTCTTGGCACACTTTGGCCACATTAGTACCAATTGAGCATCATATCAACACCACAGCCTACCTGAGTATTGTTGCGGACCATGTTCATCCCTTTACGACCACAGTGTATCCATCTTCTGATGGCTACTTAGGATAACGCACCATTTCATAAAGCACAAATCTTTTCAGACTGGTTTCTTGAAGATGACAACGAGTTCACTGTACTCAAATGGCCTCCACAGTCACCAGAGTTCAATTCAATAGAGCACCTATGGATGTGTTTGAACGGAAGATTGGCATCATGGATGTGCAGATGGCAAATCTGCAGGAACTGTGATGCTATCATGTCAATATGGACCAAAATCTCTGAGAAATATTTCCAGTGCCTTGTTAAATCTATGCCGTCAATGATTAAAGCAGTTCTAAAGACAAAAGGGTGGTTACTAGTAAGGTGTACCTAAAAAAGTGGGCGGTATGTCTAAGATGAGCTCTAAAAGGTGTACTTTAGATTATCAGTTAGGGGCCTTCACCTATTGTTTAGATCCTCTGATCTACTTTAGGCTCAGCAAAATGACTTTTAATTATTTCATTGCCCACTGAAGCACGTAATGTGGGAAATTGGATAACCTTTCAACAGGTTTCAAGGGGTTTGGCGACCCCCTCCCCCAAACATGTCCTTTTTAGAAAAAACAAACTGGCAAGATATAGGTGTCTAATAACCCATGTTGCATAGCATGAACTAACCGCAGTCATTCCACCGAGTGCTCCTTCGGGAGCGCCGGGCTGCTGTGTTTGAGCTGCGTCTCAAACACGAGCCACTCAAGGACAAACTCAAGGAGGGGTTTTGTGTGTTTTCCCTCTCATGTATTCTTAATTTTTTTTGAATGGTTACTATTTACGACTGAGTGGTTTGCGTTTGTAAACACAAAGCTCAAGTGTGTGTGTGCGGGTGGGTGGGTGCGGGAGCTCGCGGAGCTCGTGTTGTGAAGGGCCGCTGGTTCTCATGGCTGGATTAGGTCGGCTGATCACGGCTTCAAAGTGAAGGGCTCTTGATTCCCGAGTGGCTCCCCTCAAATATCTCAACAGTTGATCATGTCAGCTCAGTCCCCGGTGATTTCACGCCGTAAACCTCCCCTTCTTACTTTGATACGCGAGACTTCTGCTGCTCTTTGAAACCCAAAACATCTTATAAGTTTAATTAGCGTCTCTTCTGGTTGTTTACACATCACATTTTTGAACTAAAAGCGACATCCTTGTTTAGTTTTTGTAGTTGTTGTTCACAATTAGCATTTATTTTCTTCCTTAGGTTAGTTCCTTAGGTTAGTTCCTATTGCTTTTATGTTGCTTAATTTTAAAGTGAGATGAATTAAGATCAAGTGATGAATTAATTGGTGAGCTTCTGCTGGTGTAGACAGATGGCATCATTATAACGCTGATGACATTTGTGGTTGCATTTAACTGTTATGGTAATGACTGGGTGCGAGACAGAGAAGAAAACAAGCTCAGGGCCCCGGGGCCTCGGCAGAACACAGAGCGGAGACGCAGATCCAGCCCCGCGCATCTGGAGCAGCAGAACGCGCTGAGCGGCGAGACGTGACGGGGCGCGCCCTCTACCGGCCACACGAGGGACAACAACAGCTTCCTCGGCCAGCGCTTCCCACTTTATACATTAATCAGTCATAGATTAATATAATGTGAAGTGTTTTACTGAAATACACGCATACATAAACACATACGTTTCTTTGTTGAAGTACAAAAACGTCAGTGTTGTTTTAAGTGTAATTGTTTATTGCGTGTGTCTGTCTTGGGAATTTCCCTGTCCATTAACAGGTAGTCACAGATGTAACTGATGTCTGGCTTTTAAAGTGTTGTTGTTACTGAGAAGAGTCATTTTAACTGAACCCTCACACTACATGCATGCGGAACTGCCCTGCTGATGCCATAAATCTGATTCGCAGTTATGTTTTGTCTGTTAGGCAAATGCAGCACTGGTTAGAGTGGTCTGTGCCACCTGAATATCAACATATCAGGTATAAAAAATTGCTATGAAATATCATGCATCTTATATTTTATATTCAAATTTTTAATATAAAGTATTTCTGTATATTTAGGTCTTATCAAATTTGGTGTTGTGATAATAGTGTAAATGGCTAGATATTGTGCAGTCATTATAACTGGCTTTTAAAAAACAACAACAAAAATCCTAAAAATGATTAACTGGAGAAAAATATCACAACTAGCCTGTATGAGCACAAGAAAACAAACATTTTGTTAGACGTTTTTTATTTGCCTCAGAGTATACGCTAATCGTTTCTGTCAAAAAGAAGTTAATATACTGTATCGAAATGCACTGTTAGTGTTGTAACACCAAAATTATCAAAATTTCACAAGTTCCTTCTTGTTAACTTACACGTCGTCCAAGAGGATATCGATAATCTGCATAGCACAATACACAAAATATCTAGTTATAGTGGCACATCCACACGTTTTAAAACCCTGAAACAAAAGATGTGCAAATCAGAGTACAACAACATGGTTGAAGCTTTGGCAAGACAATACCTGTCGGTACAAAAGTACCAAGATAATGAAAAAATATTTACTGCAATGGTCCCCTACCGAATAATCTTGCATGATAAAATTACAAAACAGGCAGCAGGCAAAGCATTTTTAGATACATGTCTGAGCCCCTGAGCCACTTCCTTAACAATCTCTGCAGCAAAAAGACATATTATACATATATAAACAACATCAAATGAGCTCAAATGTCCTCTTTAGCAATTAAAAATATAATAACGCTTCATCCCTACCTAAAAAAAGATCATATGAATGCTATCAAATACTATTTAGGGACAGTTCACCTAAAAAATTGACAATTTATTCAGTTTACTCAACCTTCAAAATGTAATGAGATTAATTTTTCTCTTCAACACAAAAATATGTTTTTAAAGAAACTCTTGATCAAATGACTTATTTATAATGAGCTCTTTCAATATAATTCTTGAGGGTTTTATGTGGGATAACGTAATTGGTTTATGTTTAATCAACCTTTCATTCATTCATTAATTTTCTTTTTGGCTTAGTCCCTTTATTAATCTGGGGTCACCACAGCGGAATGAACATCCAACTTATCCAGCATATGTTTTACGCAACAGATGCCCTTCCAGCTGCAACTCATCACTGAGAAACATCCATGCACTTCCATTCACACACCCACACACCCACACACACACACACACACACACACACACACACACACACACACACACACACACACACACACAAACCAACGCAAACACGGGGAGAACATGCAAACTCTACACAGAAATGCCAGCTGACCCAGCCGAGGCTCGAACCAGCGACCTCGAACCAGTTGGTGGATCACTCTGCTGTGGCGACCCCAGATTAATAAAGGGATTAAGCCGAAAAGAAAATGAATAAATAATACAGAAAGTGTTAAGGCATTTTAGAATGACCAAAATAACATTTCAGATATTTTACAGTGTGCTCAGCCGACTGTTTTGTTCATTCACAAACATTTTTATCATCACATGATCTCTTACAACAAAATCACATGACTTTTTTTAATGCGCAAACTGGAATTTATTCGGTAGAAGTGTTTCCTTTGCAGTTTACGCGCATCTTTTCCTATCAAGCAAAACATTTAACCTACTCAGTTATGCGCATACTTTTTTATGCGCAAAATGTATGCGCATCTTGCTGTTTTCATCAACCATTTTTATGCGGATTTCCAAAATACACATAAAAATGGGTGGATGGAAACATGGCTGTTGACCTCCACAGCAGGGAAAAAAGTACATTAAAAGTCAAGAGCGACTGATTTCTCACATTCTTCAAAGGACAAACAAAGAGAGAACTTTCATTTTGGGTGAACTATCCCTAAATTTAGGACTAAAATTAAATGTGTGTGTTGTTGATAAAATGATGTATATACACTTGAAGACTTGGCACCATAAACTATAGAGATACTAAAAAAGTACTGGGCGTATGATTTCAAATGCCATAAAATACTGCAAGTTCTGTAACCACCTCTGTGTTACAATACAGAGAAACTCTCTCCCTCTCTTTATATATATTTATATAATACCTTTTTTTGTAAAATCTGACCATCATTGGAACAATAACCAGTCATCCAACCAGCCTGAGTTCAGTTCTTCTCTAGTCACGATGACAGAAATCTATCAGTGCTGGCTTTTTTTGGCAATTTGTATATGTCTCTCATAGCTGATGGCTCCTTCAGGTCATAAACTGTGTGTAGCCTTCAGCACCTGTTACTATGACGTCCATCCAGATGCGCATGGCCTCTGGAGACGGAGCCACCATGAAATAAAGTCGATCATGAGTCTTCACGCAGAAGGTCAGCGAAGGATTCGGACTCTGTAGGGGCAGAAAAAAAGATAAAGTGTGTGTTAAAGTGCGAGAAGATGGAGAACAGCAGGGCAGGGGGGGGAAGGCATGTCGCTGAAGTGGGAAAAAAAAGAAAGCATGACGAAATGTACATGAACATGAAGCTGCTTTGATCTCTTTTGGCTTGTGCTGTAAGAAATTCTCTTTATGAAGAGACGCCTGTCTGTTTAAACTTTCACCAGAGTCGCTGCTGGAGTGCGAGCTGGAGCTGTTGATGGTAAACAGGAGGGCTTTTCGGTTTTTACCTTCGTGGCGCTGCGCAGGTGATCGTAATACACCTCTTCTATGGCCTGGAAGTAGATGACACCCTTCAGTTTGGTCTCGTGTTTATCTGAGAATGACAAAAAAAAAAATAAATAAACCGTGAGGAAAAACTGAGAAACATATTGTTTTAGAATCACTGAGATCCTTTAAAAGTTTGATTTTATTTTATTATTTGAATTTGAGTTATTTTATTAGATTTAAAAAAATGTCTACAGAGTATTTAGTGATTGGTTTTTAATATATGAAGTTAAAACTAAATAAGAAATATTAGACTTTAAATATTTTTGCAGATTTATACAGTATAACCCTATTTCCATTTTATTTCAGTTGAAAAATGTTTTGAATCAGTGTTCTCTTTCTATCTTGTATCATTAGATTTTAAAAAACAGTTTAGTTTTTATTATATTTCACCATTTTTACTTTAATTTGATTAAGTTTTACTGATTTTGTCATTTTTATTCTTTTTTAAATGGCGATTTTTTTTATAGTTTAACGCATTTTAATGCATAAAATAAGTGATCACTAAGTAATATATCATTGCCAACCAGTTTAAATAAATAATTACCAGTTTTATAAATACTATTTCAGTTTGCAATTTTAAGTAAAAAAAAAAAGATTTCTTTTTTTGATAAATATCATTTATAAAATAGCATAAATAGCATTTTTGCCATTTGTATTATGTATTTTAATAGGTTATATTTTACTATTAGTACTATTAATGAGTACTATTAATTTTCATTTTAGTTTTACACTAAGTAAACAAATGAAGGTCATATACAGTTTTTAATTTACATATGTATACATTTCAGATGAAAACCGATAAGCTGGATTTAGTTTCCATTTTTCTATTTTGAATTTAAAGTTAGATTTTTTTTTGATGGATGTTTGTTTATTTCTTTATTAATTAAGTTCAATGGAGTTTACCTGTAACCCTGCTAGAAATTAACAGAAAGAATAAAAGTTACTTTGAATTGACTGTAATAACCCTACTTCTATTTTATTTCAGTTGTAAAATGTTATGTATTAGTGTTCTTTTTCATTTAGACTATCTTGAATCATTAGGTTTTATAAACAGTTTAGTTTTTTTATTATATTTGATCCATTTTTACTTTCATTTGATTTGTTTTACTGATTTTGTCATGTGATTTTATCATTTTTATTCTTTTTATAACTATATTTTATTGTTTTATGGATTTAATGCATAAAGTAAACAAAGTGATAAATATCTTCCTGGCAACTAGTTAAAACAAAATAATTACAATAAGGTTTAATATATGATTTCAGTTAACATTTGTATGTCAAGTAAAAGAAATACTAGACTAAATTGCAGTTTTGTCATTTTTATTATGTTAGCATTAGATTATTTTATTACTTTGTATTTTATTAGCATAGCTTTTTGGGTATTATTCTTTTTTATTTTAGTTTTACACAAAGTAAACTGACTAAGAAACATTTACTTCACACCTAGCTTAAAAACAAAAGTTATATACAGTTTTCATTTACATATACAGTGCACAGGATAATTGAGTTCACTACATATTGAAAATAAATATTTTCTCCATTTCTCAGTGAATATAGGCGGTGTATTTTGGTGCATTAAAACAAAACAGATTTATCAAACATATATATTTATTAAAATAATATTTTAGTCACCAAACATATTAAGAAATTGAAAGAAAATACAATTAAATTCAAGCAAAATATTGCAAAAAAAACAAAAACATTACAACCTACAAAATCTTTCCATTTTTCTTTTTTTGCTTCTTTAGATTTTTCCTCTTTTTTAAATTTGTATTTAATATTTTTTTCTAACATATACAACTGGGTGTACTAGGTTTTGGACCATTATAATAAGTTATTTTGTTAGATAAGCTTCAGATTTGGCTTCAGCACTGACTAATCTAATGTGTATGCACAAATACAGAATAGTATAGCTTCCTATTAAACATATGTATTAAAAAATATATAGATTTGTGAGGGGTCTACTTATACAGTTGAAGTCATAATTATTAGCCCCCCTGAATTATTAGACCGCTTGTTTATTTTTTCCCCAATTTCTGTTTAACGGAGAGATTTTTTTTCAACACATTTCTGATCATAATAGTTTTAATAACTCAACTCTAATAACTGATTTATTTTCTCTTTGCCATGATGACAGTAAATAATATTTATATAGATAAATAATATTAAATATAGATATTTTTCAAGACACTTCTATTCAGCTTAAAGTGACATTTAAAGGCTTAACTAGGTTAATTAGGTTACCTAGGCAGGTAATTGTAATTAGGCAAGTTATTGTATAACGATGGTTTGTTCTCTAGACAGTCGAGAAAATATATAGCTAAAAGGGGCTGATAATTTTGAACCTAAAATGGTGTTTAAAAATTAAAAACTGCTTTTATTCTAGCCGAAATAAAACAAATAAGACTTTCTGCAGAAGAAAAAATATTATCAAACATACTGTGAAAATGTCCTTGCTCTGTTAAACATCATTTGGGAAATATTTTAAAAAGAAGAAAAAAAAAGTCAAAGGGGGCTAATAATTCTGACTTCAACTGTATATGCTGAGCAGATGAAAACCAAAAAGCTGGAATTAGTTTTCATTTTTCTATTTTGAATTTAAAGTTAAATTTGGTTATGGTTATGTCATGTGTATTAGTTTGTTTCTTTATTAATTACGTTTGATTATGTTTACCTGTAACCTTGCTAGGAATGAAGAGACTGAATCAAATCAGCTTTATTAGGCATTAAGCTACATGTTATTACACTTGCCATTTCCCATTTGTGGTTTATTTGCATTATGCAATGAGTCTGCTGTGATTTGTTTTACTTCCCAGCAATAAATCACTCTATGAAAGATATTGGAATAAAAAAAGAAAAAAAAAACACAGCTTTTTGAAAGCTTTGCCGGAGGGATTGAACAAGCTCACCGAGCAGAAGTGAATTGTAGCACACAGAGCGATTCACCTAAAAGCACTGTCTGTCTCAATTTAGCACAGTCTGCCACCCACTGCCAACGGCTCCTCCGACAGACTTCCCTTCTCGCTACTTAGCGTGAATTAACTCCTCTCTGCAGATTGATTCAACATCTCCAATGGGCTGAAACGAGCATTGTTTTTGAAGCCCTTCAGCCACCGGCGAGCCTCTTTCACCTGCGCTGACCATCGACACTTGTTAGCTCCCCTCTTAAATGTTGTGCTCGTTACACAAATGTGCTTAGTAATGGGCTAAATTGTTTTTGTGTTTGATGTTTTTGAAGAGTTGGAGGAGCAGTATTGTTACTCAGAACTGAGCCAGGGGTAAATCTACACCCCCATCCTTCACAAACGCCAGGCTGGAGAAAGTCTTGCAGTTTATTTCATCATCATCATCACCATCATCATCATCACTACTAACACGGGGAGCGAGAGGGTGAAAAGGCTACACACACGAGCAAAAGTGTGTGTGAGAGAAAGAGAGAGAGAGAGAGAACATCTGAGAGAGAGAAAAAAGACAGGATGATCGGAAATCGAGCGAACAGAGATAAAACGTTTCTCTAGAACATGCCACTTTGTCAGTGCCGTCAAATGCTTTTGGTTTGTTTGTTTATTTCTATTTCTTCTGTTTGTTAGGTAAGTTGTTATTAAATATTATGCAGTTGGCAAAAAATAGAAACAAACACGTTCTCTTATTTACATTTAAAAATAAATCACTATCACTTTGTCAGAAAATAAATTAAGATTTAGAAGTAGTAATTTTTTTTCTTATCAGGTGTTTTTTTTAGGTGTCTCGAAACTTGCTGTTTACATTGTATTGCCAAAGAATTCATTGGTTTAGTTTAGGGACAGGTTTAGTATATTTAAAAGGGGAGTAAATAGGTAGGTTGAGCGAAGATACTGGTGTAATTACAGACATTGTCTGACATTGTCATTAAGCATAACTAATATATTTATGGAAAAAAAAAAAAAAAACAGACTCTTGTTCTGACTTGTACTTAAGATATATAAGGGGTTCATTCTGCTGTGGCGACCTTTTCCTTAAGATATATTATACATAAATATAAACAAAACAACATGAAATGTGCTAAAATGTCTTCTATCGCAATTAAAAATATCAAAAAGACCCAAAAAGAAATTATGAATGCTATCAAATACTATTTACGAGATAAAAAAATGGCAATTTAACCACAATGAGATTACTTATTTAGATTTTTTTCTCTTTAACACTTTTATATTTTTGTAAGAATATCTTTTGAAGTCAAAGGAAAATTAATGAATAAATATATACAGTCTTAATTATTAGCCCTCATACATTATTAGCCCTGAATTATTGTATATTTTTGCCAAAACACATTTCTAAATAGCTTTCATAACCAATTTCTCTAATCTTTGCCATGATGACAGTAAATAAAATTTGACTAGATATTTTTTAAGACACTTCTATACAGCTTAAAGTGACATTAAAAGCTAAACTAGGTTAATTAGGTTAACTAGGTAGGTTAGGGTAATTAGGCAAGTTATTGTATAAAATTATGGTTTGGTCTGTAGACTTAAAAAAATAGCTTAACGGGCCACATAATTTTGACCTTAAAATGGTTTTAAATTTTTTTTTATAGCTAAAATAAAACATAAAAGACTTTCTGAAGAAGAAAGAATATTACAGGAAATAATACAACATGCTTGTTTTTTTAAGGGTAGCGGCAGAATAAAGATCAATAATTGGTATTTTTGTTCTCCACTGTAATCAAATGTCATCAAATGATTCTTGTTCTAAATTTACCGAACAAGATCTTTTGGTACATAATCTACTGTTAGACTGTAGTGGGTGTCTTTTTTAAACCATAGTAAAACCTCAACAACTTTTTCTCAGAAAGAAAATTATTAATCATTCAGGACACATTTCAACTCATGAAAAAATAAAATAAAAAAATAAAGTTCTTTTAAAAAAAGAATTCAGGATAATGTCTTACCAACATAATAAGAGAAGGTCCTTTTAAGTCGATCGAAGACAAACCAGCGTTTTTTCCAGGATTTGATCTTGCCTCCCATCTTGACGAGGTGACCCTTACACATCTTCTCTGTAACAATGACATAAGCACACGTGTCCACGCTGTGGCCTGATGACTCAACATGTGATCGCAGGTCAAACTCCTCTTTTCGGATCGGCAGGTACCGTGTCATTGGCCGAGCCTGAGGAAGACAGAACGCAGATTAGCTGCCATCACAAATATTTACATCTACCTGTAAATTCAGACACACACAGTAGCAATATCAGAGATGCAACAATATATATGTAGCCATATCAGTATGGACTGTTAAAATATCAACCAATAGATTATAGATTATTCCATCTGTTTCAGATGTGTGCTGTTTTTTTTTTAACCCAGGCTCATTCTGAAAACGTACCGCTATATACATTTCTGGAGAGTGACAAATATACTTCTTTTACAGTTTTTGTTTTCACGAATCCACCAGAGGCCGTTGTGTATGCTTTTTCGTTCATTTTTGAGATCTCAAATTTCCCTCGCAAGTGCCATTCGTGCCTGCTCTTCTCACATAAATCCACCAGAGGCCGCTGTTCTCTGACTGACAGAATGACTGACCGATCGACTGACCCACCATTCTCCTTCCCTAAACCCAACCAATAGTGTTTTAAAAGCACAGATTGATCTGCCCAACCACTTCTCTAAATCCAACCAAGCAATCCAGAAAAAGAAAAGCCCTTGCCTGATTTTTACCATGTTTTCAGATTTTACCACACTCTCTCTCACCCTGTTATTTACTTGTTCATTTTTGTTTTCCATTACCGTTTTTGTCTTACCTGCTTTCTAGAACCATTCGTTGCCAAACTTGAACCCTTGTCGTGGTTAACTCCTCTCTGCATCTCAAGTCCGCAGATGTACATGGCCAGCTACTGGATAAACTGGTTACAACGGGGAAGCAGTCTATATGTAGATAGGCGGTCAGCTGGTTAGCGAGAAAAGGAACAACATCATACTGCCCCGTAGCGTTCGTTTCAAAAATGAAGTGCAGCCATGCGTAGCTCTGGCTACATAATTCACGATCTCCAGAAATGTATATAGGGTAACATATTTAGAATGAGCCTAGGTTGAATACTTGTAAAGCATTTATTATTTATAATTAAACAATAACATCATTGTGAACAATGAACACCAGTATTTTTATTACCCAACCTGAGCAAATACTGTAATTAAAGTATTGTTTATAGTTTTTTTTTCTTGTTAGTAAATGCATTGACTAACAAGAACTAATACAACCTTATTGAAAATGTATATATACGCCACCATTTCTGTACATACAATTGAAGTCAGAATTAATAATAAGACTTATATAATTTATTTATTATATAAATAATAATAATAAGACCCCCCGTTGGCATTTTTTTGTCTTATTTAAATATTTCCCAATTGATGTTTAACAGAGCAAGGTAATTTTCACAGTATGTCTGATAATATTTTTTCTTCTGGAGAAAGTCTTATTTGTTTTATTTCGGCTAGAATAAAAGCAGTTTAAATGTTTTTAGAAGCCATGTTAAGGTCAAAATTATTAGCCCCTTTAAGCTTTATTTTTTCAATAGTCTACAGACCAAACCATCCATACACAATAAATTGCCTAATTACACTAACCTGCCGAGTTAACCTAATTAACCTTGTTAAGTCTTTAATGTCACTTTAAGCTGTATAGAAGTGTCTTAAAAAATATCTAGTCAAATATTATTTACTGTCATCATGGCAAAGATAAAATAAATCTGTTATTGGAAAGGAGTTATTAAAACTATTATGTTTAGAAATGTGTTGAAAAAAATCTTCTCTCCATTAAACAGAAATTGGGGAAAAATTAAACAGGGGGGCTAATAATTTAGGGGGGCTAATAATTCTGACTTCAAATGTATATCTGTCACAATTTCCTTATCGGTGCTTCCAATATTTTTAGAGAAACATGACATGATAGTTAGTTTATCAATCAGAACAGAACATGATAGTCTCTTTCATCACAATGAAGATGGTTGATTTAAGCAGAGAAAAAGCATGCCGTTCTCAATCCATTGTTTTGCTTATGTCACTTATTTCTGTGTTTAAGCGCCGCTGTCCTCGCGGGCTGCCCTTCCCTGCCTCTAGATTCTGCTGTCTCGCTTTCACCATCTGTCTGCGCGTCTCCCCTCGTCCTCCTGCTGTGCGGAGCTGCTCTCGGTGCATTCATGCCTCCCGTCTGCCCAGTCAAGCTGAGCCAGTGACCTCATAAAGACTTTTAAAGAGCAACTCAAAACATTCAGTGACCCCCGAGCGGCTCCAGAGAAGCACACCGCTGCGTTCAGAGTTGTACACAAACACTGAAACTGTCTGTTCCAGTGTGTGCGCAGCATTACTACACTCTGCTTACATTCAAACGCCTCTATTTATAACACCAACATAATGATGCTTAGACGTGCCGATATTCCATATGCTGTGATAATGAACAGACTGAATAAGTGATTTATTTTCAGATGTTAATCTCGTCTATATTAGAATTTCTGTGACTACAGGTCTTTTGTTTGATAACTCTGTACAGTAATTCTCCATTTAACATCAGTTCATTTAACTAAAGTCAGTGTAATGACAACTACAAATGTATTTATTCATCTTTGGTCATTTTAATTTCTTAGTTAATGACTTATAACACAATATAATCTGAGTCCTATTGTATTTTTTTTTACTTTATAATAATAACTATAATATGGCTTTTTCTCACTGTTGATTTCACTGGATTAATATTTACTGATGAGACTTTTACATGTTACCTGCTATTTATTTCTTTAAAACATATTTATTCTGAACACATGTATAATAAAGCAATTGACTAATTATATGGTTAATATACATGTTAAAATAAGCTCTTTTGCTGTACTACTGTATATTGTTTGATACCGGCGTAATGATACTTTCTATAATTATATACAATATATTTTGCTAATCAGCCCATTTATAAATGTAAAAAATTAGAGGTGCTGACTTTCTGCATGTTGGTTATGTCTTGCTCAGTTTAACTGGCCACTTCAGTAGGTCACTTTATTAGGTACACCTGTCCAACTGCTTGTTAACGCAACTTTCTAATCAGCCAATCACATGGCAGCAACTCAATGCATTTAGGCCTGTAGACATGGTCAAGACGATCTGCTGCAGTTCAAACCGAGCATCAGAATGGGGAATAAAGGTGATTTAAGATTTGACTTTGAACGTGGCATGTTTGTTGGTGCCAGACGGGCTGGTCTGAGTATTTCAAAAACTGCTGATCTACTGGGATTTTCACGCACAACCATATCTAGGGTTTATAGAGAATGGTCTGAAAAATAGAAAATATCCAGTGAGAGGCAGTTCTGTGGGCGCAAATGCCTTGCTGATGCCAGAGGTCAGAGGAGAATGGCCAGACTGGTTCCAGCTGATAGAAAGGCAACAGTAATTCAAATAACCATTCGTTACAACCGAGGTATGCAGAAGAGCATCTCTGAACACACAACATATCTAACCTTGAGGCTGATGGGCTACAAAAGAAGAAGACCACACCAGGTGCCACTCCAGTCAGCTAAGAAGAGGAAACTAAGGCTACAATTCACACAGGCTCACCAAAACTGGACAATAGAAGATTGGAAAAACGTTGCCTGGTCTGATGAGTCTCGATTTCTGGGATGTGGGGGAACAGGAGATTCGCATCATGGATGTGCAGCCGACAAATCTGCAGCAACTGCGTGATGCCATCATGTCAATATGGACCAAAATCTCTGAGGAATATTTCCAGTACCTTGTTAAATTTATGTCATGAAGGATTAAGGCAGTTCTAAAAGCAAAATGGGGTCCAACCCGGTACTAGTAAGGTATACCTAATAAAGTGGCCGGTGAATGTATAAAGTCATCAACATTTGGATCTTTCATCAAAGTTGTCCTTAAACAACTGAACGACACCCATTAAGTGTCTTAGGACAGTTTTGATAAACTTTTTTGGTCATCTTCAAATGTTGTGTACTGTATTTCCAAGACATTTACCACTTCTGTGAGACAAAGATGACACATTTTGCACGAACATTACACACACAATATCTGTATTCTTGTAAAAAAAAAAAAACACAAATTCAATAAAGTTAGAGATAAATTAGTAAAATTCTAGAATGTTTTTGATTATTTTGTGGAGAAATTACAAATTATGGTTGTCTGCAAAAAAATGTGACCTTTCATTGATTTTCCATTGTTTTTGGCAAAAAAAAACATGAGCCACTGACAAGAAGTACACCATGTTCAAGATATTTTCCTTAGTTTTATTTACCTCTTTGATGTATATTTAAGTAACCCGAGGACAACATCCCTGACCCATATATACATATACATACATATATGAATATATATATGAATGTACATGAACTACTGATCTATAAAACATAACGATTATAAATATTAATGTTTATTAATGACTTATTAATGAAAGTCTTATTATTATTAAGTATTGTCCCTTTTCTTTCTGACTGGGGAATGCTTTATGTTTTGAGATCGTCTCTATTACTAAGACCTGAGATCAGATCATTGAGGTACCGCCCAGAAGTACTGACCTGAGAACACTGTTTCTCCCTCATCTTGACCTCTTCCTCCACGAGCCTCTGTCTGTGAGCGGTTTCATCCAGCAGCCTCCTCTCCACCTCCTCTCTCCTCCGTCTCTCAGCCTCCAGCATCTGCTTTCTTGCCTGGACTTCCCTCTCCTGACATAAAGACAGGCGGACAGATTAGGACACAGAGGGGCTTCAAATGTATCGTGAGAGACGCTTTAATAGACAATAGGGAAAAAAACACATACAAATACATAAAATACACAGCGCGGAGTGACTGGGGATGCATGAAAAAATCATTCAGCAAGAGATTGTCAGAGCGAGTATTACTGTCGGAGAGCTTGTTAAGATCCAGCCTTTCATGTCTATCACTCTTTGTAGGTAAGAAACAATCTTTAATGCAGTAATGCCAAAGGGACCAGGGGCTTCCTTTTTAAATTCATGAAAAAGATCTCTTTTATATGGGAGACAGGGAGAAAGATAGATTATATTTCACAGACAATTAAAGTTTAATGGCGCTCACTCGACTCTCCACCAGTCTGGCTTTCTCCTGCTGGGCCTCCTTCAGCATCTTCTCCATCTCCTCCAGTCTCAGTCCTGCCAGCCCGTTGCTGCTGAGGGAGAAACACAGCGTTACTGTTGCTGAGGAGTTTCTAGCGGCAGAAGACGACACTGATCCTGACTGCTTACTCTAGACAGACCACAGCTGCAGTCGTTCATAACATACTGAGTGAGTTCTATAGAAAATAACATAGAATAGTAACAACAAATCATAAGTTATCTAATAGGTGAACTGACCTCACAAGACATTAGTAAAATGCTGTTAAAAATAATTACACAATCGAAATCAAGATGGTGTCGAGCATGGCCGCCGTGTTGCGAGCTCCCAGCAATCTTTGTTGTGTTTTGTGTGTTTTACTTGTATTTTTGTCGTTTTTGGTGCTAGATGTACACACAATTTCCTAAGCTTTTCACTCGTCATAGCACACGTTCTGCTGATGATGTGACAATAAAAGTGATTTAATTTAATTTGACAATAAAAAGACTGGTCTGTGAGACTTGTGTATATACACACACAGACACTTGAAGACACAATTATAAAAATGATGGGTTCCACACAATCGATTTGTGTTAGGACAACATCAAGGACTTAAGTTAACTTATTAATAATTATAAGTTGATTAATCATAAATCAACTTAAAAAAAATAATTCAAGAATTGTGTTGTTTCCGCTTATTTTAAATGAGTAGTTTGATCAAACATCATTTTTCAGAGTGCAAAATTATAATCCTTTTTCAACTATTTCTCAAGAGCTGCTTAAACGGAGAGATTTTGTTCAACAATGACTGCTGAAATGACCTTATGGCACAACGGTAGCACGTCTGACTCCAGATCGGAAAGATGCTTGTTCAAATCACGCCGGGGTCAAAGGCATTGAGTTAAGCAATAGTTTTGGATGTTTCCCAGTTGTGGGTTGCAGCTGGAAGGGCATATGCTGGATAAGTTGGCGATTACTTCTGCTATAGCAACCCCTGATGAATAAAGGAACTAAGCCGAAGGAAAATAAATGAATGAATTTTGTTCAACACATTTTTGAACATAAGTTTTAACACTAATATCTTTTTTTTTTGTCTTTGCCACAATGACAGTACATTATATTTTACTAATTACTTTACAAGATATTAGTATTCAGATTAAAGTGCATTTTAAAGCCTGAACTGGGGTAAGTAACTAGTAACTAGGCAGGTTAGGTTATTTAAGCATGTTACTGGACAACAGTGATGAGTAAAATAATTTGTTATGGGGGCTAATAAAAATGCCATTATTAGCAGTTTTTTTAATTTGTTACATTATTATCCTTTACTACAGCCAAACGAGAAAAAAAAGAAGAAAAAAAAAAAGATTTTCTCCAGAAGGAAAATATACTAGAAAATACTGTGAAAACTGTACTTGCTCTGTTAAACCACTTATTGGAATAGAAATATCAAAGGAGGTCTAAAAGCTTTGACTTCAACTGCATTGAAGTCTCTAACTTGTATTGTACTTGCTCTGTTAAACCACATGGGCACTATCCTTATAAATAAACTGTATAGTTGCAATCTAAACAACTACATTCTCACCTAAAATGCCTCAAAAGTACATTATATTGTCCAACAGCAGCAACATTTGCCAAACTGTAAAGTGACCTCTGCTTTTATGTGGGCGGAGTAACACACAAGGGTGAAAGGTTAAGAGGCAGTACGCGTGCTGTTATTTGCAGAATATCACACGGCTATCAGCCAATCAGATTCAAGAACCAGACAGAACTGTTGTATAAATATATATACTTGACATTGAAAAATTTGTCTTGAAAAGTGAGCTTATCACAGCATTTATTTGTTTAGAAATACAGTAGCTGAAATAAATACAAACTTGATAACATTTTGTTCCAAAAAAAAACAAAAAAACTAAAGCTAATTCAGAGCTCTAATTAAATTTTTTTTATATAAATTTTAATTTTTTTTTTTAGAAAATGTCAATTAATGACACTGAAAATTGTTCAGAATTTAAAAATAAAAATACACTTTGCTGAAGTAAGTTTTTTTCCTTTCTTCCTTCTGAATGTTTTATTCTGCTCAGGCTCTAGGCAACCATGTTTTTGTCACTAGCACCCTCTCAAAAAAGACATTATGCTCTTTCCCGCTGTGTCAAGGAGGCTGTGATTTCTCTTTTCTTTATTTCACGACCTACATGCTTTTTCAATGGGCCTCTTTCACCACCTCAAAGGAAGAGGTTGACTGAGGGTGAGGAGGGCTGTGAGAATTTAAAACTGCTGAAACATGGAAGCGATATATGTAAGAATGCACGCTGAAAGATTCTAGTCCAGACTATGGATCTTGAAAAGTAGGGCAGCTTCAAGAGAACGTCTTTTGATGACTTCGACATCTGACGAAACACCTGAAGCCTCCATGGCTCCAAGAAGCACATACTTTAAAATGACATTGTGTGCTTGTTCTGCCTCGGGACAAGGCCAAACTTTGAAGACGAGAAGAATGGCACGTCTCTTTGTGTGGACGCATGTGTTGTCATGGAAACAACTCGGCAACTACTTTGGTAAGATGATGAAAAAAACATTGATGGGGAAACTGGGCAGCGTGACCCATTGTTAAGGGAGTGGAGGCAGAAAAAAGGCCAGCGTCTCACCTTTCGGGAGAACAAGCGGAGTTGTTTCCAGTTGATACGCTGGTCTCCACGCTGTCGGAGCTCTCCAGACTCAGGGTGTCATATGTGGACTCTCCAGCTGGGGGTGCCTGGTGGTGCAGAATGGAGTGGTGGACCATGGGTGCTCCTGAAGGTGGTGCCCCCCAGTGGCTCAGTTTATGATCCATAGGCCTGATTCTGGAATCATCACATGTGTAGAGCCCTGAAGAAACACACCCAGAGCAGATCGATAAAAACCCCAGACGGTACAGTATGTCTATAACCACCCTTTAGATTAGATGTAACTGTGTTAGCCAAACAATGTTAAATTATTCAACGCATGCTGTTTACGAAGTCATGATATGAGCGATGGGCTACCTCTGCTCTGTAGATCCAGCTGTCTCTTGGAGTCTATGTCCAAATAAGCAGGAGACAGATCTGGGAGACTCTGAAGAGAAATTGGAAAGAGGTAAATAGAAAGTGACACATTGACAGATATAAAGGATCACACGCTGGTTTATTTGTGTAGGCTATACATTGTTCATTGTTCTGTCCGAGTACAAGACACACTGAGCAATTAAATAGTTGAAGGATTAATCATTATACATCAACTTTGTCTTTACAATAAGATTAATTGTTGTTTTACTTCATGTGGAATCAAAATAGATTATAACAAGACAGACTGTACAAAAACAAACAAACTGTGGAACAGTACTTAAACATAGACCTTTTTTAAAGGGGTGGTCCACTACGATATCTTTAACTTTAGTTTATGTGTGATGTAGCTGTGTGAACATAAACAACATCTCTGAATGTAAGACGCTTAAAGTTCAATGCAAAGGGAGACCTTGTCTTTTACAGAGTTAGCTTAACGCTGCTTAAACACCATTTGGGCAGTCCAAAAAAATACATTAAGGCTAGTGGGATCACAAATGCTTCAGGGTACGCACATTCACCACGCGCATATACCGTATGCAGCGAAAAGGCGTGGCCAGAGACGCTGTAATGCTGTAATGTAGCAGAGAAAGCTAACATGCCATCCAAACGCTGCTATTTCTACAGAGCTTCTTTTGTTTCTGTATTTGGGCTTCCAAAGTACATGATTCAAAGTGCTTACAGTTGAATTTGAATTATGTTCCAGAGAATTATAAAAAATAAAGCTCTAGCATTTGACAAAGGAAAGCTTTCACAATCTCTCTTAGTTCAGTGCTGGATTCGGCTAAAAACTCCTCAAAGAAGAAGCAGCTTTAACCATAATAGCAGAAACTGTGGATTGTGAGCCACAATCTGTACGTATTTTTAATCGTTAAAATTGATCGATTGCATGCATAGCTTTCAGAGTTAACAGTATGTTGTTGCATTTACGTCCAAACAAGGATGTATTCATATTTATCTGTCAAGCCGCTGTAAACACCCACAATCTTCGCCAGGGCTAAAGTGTCTCTCCATACAGACACTTTCCCTGTGTTCTACATTTCAAATAACAAACTCTCAAAACATATGTGAACGTTTTATATTACATAAACATGCTTATTCTGAATATATGTGAAAAACACTTGTCAGATTTTATTTTAGAGAGCAGGCGAGAGGTTTAGCTGTGTCCTCTGTGTCATTTTCTGTCTGATTTAGGCACAAACTGATACGGCTAACAGCTACTCTGATTGACTATTTACACAGCGCAAAAGTGCATGCTTGTAGGAACGTGAAGCTTTTCCTGGTGACGTGCCGATTCGCGAATCACACCACATTATGTTAGCTGACAAATCAGAGCCTCTTGGGACTTTTGGAGGAACTAGGAAATATGACAGTTGTGTTCATGTTAGCTGAGTAGCTGTATACAATTAAAAGTATGATATATGAAAAAATAACAGGATTTTCTACGAATGAAGCATGAGCACACATTGCTTTGCATCTTATAAACACAACAAAGCCTCAAAAATAAAGAACCAGTGCTTTATTCTTGATTGTAAAACATAATATCGTTTATATATACAGTACATATTTGTTCAAATTAAAAAGTACTTCCTAACACAACTTTTAGTTTGGTTCATGGCTATCAACACTGAAAGAGAAGACACCAAAAGAAGATATTTTAAAGAATGTTGGAAACCTGTAACCATTGACATATATAGTAGGACAAACAAATACTATGGAAATCATTGGTTACAGGTTTCCAATATTCCTAAAAATATATTCTTTCTGTTTTTATAAGAACATACATAAACTGTTTTGAGTAAATGATGACAAAAATCTCGGAAATGTGTGCAGACATTGAATTTTAAACATCAGCACAGTGTTTAAAAAGGTAGACAGCATATTCTGGCCTAAGTAAATCTCCTAGAAACAACCATTAGAGGTTACATTATAAACTCTCTTACTTTGGTTGGTGTGTTTCTGCCTGATAAGGTGCCATTGGTCTCTCCATCCTGCTTACACATCTGACAATAAAACATCTGTGTTATTCACCTGTTTGTCAATCATACTCTTCATCAGTATTAAAAGCTATGATAGCTTGGCCCCACAGCAAGGAGAAACCCAACACCAAAGCAACCACAACCAGCAACAAAGACCTCAAATGTGCTTTACATAAAAGCAGTGTCATTTCATTCAAGAAGCAGTAATTGTTTCTGGAGAGATTCAATACAAAGGATACACTAAGATTGGAGAATTTAAAGAAAGACAAAAGATAAAGATTGCAAGCAGAAGGAAAGACAAATGATGACAGTTTACCTGCATTGGTTTACGTGAGGAGAGACACTTAGCGGGCAGAGGGGGAGGACAGCTGTGACTGGGCTGCCCAGCCGCCATGATCTCCTGGTACCAACGCTCTGAATCTAGCCTAGGGATTGAAGGTCTACTCCATGCAGGCTGGGTCTGAGGTGCAGTCCAGGCAAATGAAGATGGATGGATAAATAGAGAGGAAAAATTTATATAGGAAAAAAGAAACTAGAAAAAAGCCATTCCAAAGAAGAGACACATGCACTGAAAGCAGTGGTGGACAAGGACTTAGTACTTTTACTTTAAGTACATATTTTAAATATCTGTTCTTTATCAGAGTATATTTATTTTAGGATTTATTTACTGTAATTCCCTACATGACAAAACAAAACAAATCGTATTATTACATTCCAGTTATAGAAAAATATTTTTTAAGGAAAGAAATTGTTAAGAAACTAGTGTTTATTAAGTAAAAAATATCAATTTTATCAGTTATCCTGTTAAATTGTACTGAACAATCAGTTTGTGAATTGGATATCTGTTCATGTGTCAACAACTCAATGATTCAAATGATCCATTCAAAGTGAGTCTGCAGTAGACTATTCACTGATTCAAATGATCTATTCAGAGTGAGTCACCAGTAAACAATCACTGATTTTTTTTAACTGATCTGGGGTGCATTTCCAAAAAACATTGTTAGCCAATTAAGGTCACAAGTTCTGTTGTTACAAACTTAGTTCGTTGATTTAATGTTTCCCAAATCCATCGTTCCAATAAACATTCGCAAACTGTGTCACAAACTTATACATTTGCAACTACACCTCTAGAGCTGTAGATACACTCCTAGTACCTGGCTGTGTTCTACTCCCAGTCATCCCCCGTATGCCCTACTCATTTAGAACATTTAAACTCGAAATAATAATTAAAAAAACATCACTCTTACATGTATTTGCTTTCAAAGTGAATTTAGATTATGTCTTCAAAGCTTGAAACAACAAGATATATAGATTACGTTAATGGAATAATTTATAACAGCCTAGGCTATTTATTAAGAAATGTAAATTAATATTATAAAATGTATATTAATATTATTTAATGTATATATTGAGCCTACATGCTATAACATTACTGCAGAGGTTTGAAAGTGTCAAAGTTGTAAAATTTGACATACAAAACAAAACAATAGACAGATTTTATTATTATTATTATTAAGTAGGATATTGTTTTTTATTTCCTAATAAATAGCCTACTACAAACTAAAACAATTAACATGACGATTTATATATGAGATTATAGTATGTGCTAGCTTTTTGTAAGTGGTTTTAGAATAGAATATGGAATGTTCTCAACAATATTTGTAAAGGAAACATAGGCTCTATATATGCCGTTTACATATATTTAAATTAATAGGGAAAACGAGTGCATGTTTTCACCAAAACTAATATTGGATTTTTTTTTAAATCCGTGTGCGTGTAAAACAATTTACACAAAAAGTTATGGAGATTTTCTCCAAAGAAGTAGTTACTCCACCCTGTTTAGTGCGTCATTAACGCGCTATTCACGCGGGGCGTCAGCGTCAACGCATCCCATTCACTTCAAATGGGTGACGTCAGGCGTTGCCGAACTGCATTGTGGATCCGTCTGCGCTGCTTCAGAGGCGTTGCTCACTGTAGAAGTTGGGACTAGCTCAACTTTTCAAGCGCAGACTGAAGCGTCAACCAATCAGATCACTGTATGCAAATACACCTGCTAGACAGTGGCCTATTGCTGACAGAATTTCATTGGCTGATGCTGCTATGACGATCGCTTTAGCCCCAACTTCAGACACGCCTTTAGTCAAGTGTTGACGCTGAAGCCCCGTGTGAATGGGGCGTAAGAACGTTTTATGTTAGAACTAATTACGGTTTTAGGAAACACTAGTGATTACATTGTTCTTTTCCCAAAAGATGCATCGTACTGTGATAGTTCAGCCACGAGTTATGTCATTGTTTGAGAAACACACCCCTAAATGCGGTCCATCGTATGAATGGGGTTTCACCTGTTTTTACTTAAGTTAACATGAATTATCCATAAGTTTTGTTAATTAAATTATCTTAAAAATTGCTTATATTACTTATATTAAGCAAATTAAAATCAACCACTTTTGTACTTTAACTCAAGTAAAACTAAAAAAGGGGGACATTAAACACATTTTACTAGGGTATCTATACTTTTACTCAAGTGCCTAATTTGTGTACTTTGGCCACCACTTATTAAAAGTATGATACAGATCTAAAAGAAATAAGAATCTACAGCTTCAATTTCCTCTACATTCAACTCTGAACATTGTCACAAATACTGGTAAATAAAAGTATGCACACATCGACACCACAAAATAACACACACCTCAACAAGAAGTGACTGGGAGGAGCCACACTGGGATGTGTGGCTGGAGTGGGCGGGGTCAATAGCTTGGAATGATTGGACGGAAGAAGTGGGGTAGGGGTCAACTTTAGGCATCCCGAACAGCTGGTTTAACTGACTGACCGTCACATACTCCTTTATGCAATCACACATCACATAAACACAACATGTAATGAGAGTGATTCAGGTATACACAAGCATAAAGCTGGCGTAGCAAAGGTGGAGGATACAGCAACAGCTAAGACAGCTGGAGAGACAGAGAGCTGAGAAGAAATGAAGAAGTGAAAAATAGGAGTTTCAAGGGAAGACAGCCAGTGGGTTATTCTGACAGCATCATGAAAGAAAAGTCACAAACTAGGAATAAATGGCATTGGAAAGGGAAACAGGAGGCGGAAAGGCAAGGGAAAAGATTGTGTCGCGGATGAAAGAGTGAGTGGAGGAGTCGTACCTCACGAGGTGTGTCTGATGTTACAGCCAGCGGTAGACAGAGCGAGTTAGGAGAGGCAGTCTGGGCGGGGACACATCCATTCCCATACATCTTATATACATCAGAGAGTTTGAGGTACTCCTGAGCACAAACACACACATCCATCCATACACACATCCACAAAGGATTTCAGTTCATATCTTGAGACTTGAAGAACTCCACCACAAATCTCCATGCACCCACTGGAAAAGCATGCTCACACCCAACAGATACCATTTCTGCTACATCTCCAATACACACACACACACACACACACACACACACACACACACACACACACACACACACACACACACACAAATGCCTTCTGACATGTGTGATAATAGCAGTGCACACCATTCCAGTGCTAGGTAATGTGACCATAGCAATCATGAATGGCCTAAACATAACTGAATTCATGCTGGATTAGGACAAACCACACCTAAGGGTTCAGTGATGTCTCACACAAAATGCAAACTCTCCCCATTTTCAACCTTGAATCTGTGGCCAGTAGAACTGATGAATGCTCAACAAACAAACAGCACAAACACCAAACAGAGTCCTGCAAGCATTCCAGGTGTCACGCCCTTCAATTGCCCATTTAATCAAACATTTGGGGTCAGTATTTTAATTAAAAATGTCACAGTGATAAAATGTATACGGAAAGAAAGGAACTAAAAAGAGCCATCAAAAAAAGCAATAAAAGCACTGATAGTGTGAATATTTTGGAAATTGAAAGTATGTCTTATAAACTCTAAAGCTTGAAAATTCCCACTTTATTGCAACATAGGCTCATTCTGAAAACGTAGCCCTATATACATTTCTGGAGATCGCGAATTATGTACCCAGAAGTACATATGGCTGCAATTCATCTTTAAAGGGAACGCTACAGGGTGGTATGATGCGATTCCTTTTTGCGCTAGGAGCTGACTGCCTAAAGCCTGGTTTATACCTCTGCATCAAGTGATCAGCGTGACCCACGGCACATGCAACATGCGTAGCTGTGCATTCATACTTCTGCAAGCTGTTTCTCTTGCTCTGCAATAACACTTCAGAAATGCTAGTTGGCAGTGCGGTGTTTATGTTCCTCTGTGTCGAGTTTCTTCACTGGTGTTTTGTTTTTTTCTGAAAGCTTCCTTAATGTACAAGTGGTTGAAACTTGCTTATTTTGAGGCAGGAACTGGCGGACGTGCTACAACTGTAACTATAAGGTAAACACAAAGCAACAGTTTCCATCCGCAGCTCCTTGTAAACAGTTGACACTTGTAAACACTCGCTCCATCTGACTCACGCGGCTCTTGGTCCCGCCTACACTCGTCACCCTTCCAAGCCAACCAATCACAGAGCTTGCGCTACGCGTAGTTGTGTAGTTGCATTTTTTTAGAGGTGCACGTCATCGACACCGACAGGCACGGTGAGGGTTAGGGTTAGGCTGCGCTGTAGCAAACGTGTGCGCTTGACACAGAAGTATGGGGGGGGGTCAGTCGATCGTTTAGTCATTCAGTAAGTCAGTGAGTCAGTCGACCGCTGCCTCTGAGACGTATTTGGCACCCTCCAGAAATGTATATAGCGATACGTTTTCAGAATGAGCCTGGGTTGCTTTATTCAACTTTGAACAAACCAGAGTTGTTCCTAAATTGTTAGCACACTGACTATAATTTTAATTACGTTTTTCAGAAATTCATCCAACAATATCTACAAAGACATAAACCACAACAACTACTTTTTCTAAATTAGCAAAATAAAAGGCTTCTTGAGCACCATATCAATATATTACAATCAGTTCTGTTAAGGAGTTAATGTAAATTGCAATTATTTATTTCAAAATCAAATCATTTTACTGTATTTTTATCAAATAAAGGCAGCGTCCCAGTGAGCATAACACTGTGTTCTTACAACGCACAACTGGACAAGATTCCAGTGACAAGCAATTCGGCTGTGTGCTTCAGACCTTGCATGACATTTGAATACATTTAAATAACAGCCATTCAGAGGTGTAAAATAGTGCACTGAACTCAAAAAGAAATAGATAGGTTTATAATCAATTGAATAAATATTAAACATTATTAATATTATTAAGTTTTACATTGAGTCACAAATTAAACATCTACGTTTGAACTGGATGTTTGCTAGTTTTTTTTTTATTTTCAGGATCTAAGGTAACTTATATGCTCATAAATGGTCATGTTAAATTGATTTCCAACTCTTTCTGATAACATTTAATCCAACTAACACTATATAAAGCACATGATCAGCACCTGAGGGGATCATTGTCATAGTAAATAATGCTTCTTTTTCAGCTACGATGCCACAGAAACAAAAGCTATTTCTAAAACACAAACTTTGTTGGTTGCTATCATGGATGCTCAGGACAAAAAATTATTTAATCATAGTAAAAAGAAAGCAGCATCACATTGTGTGTAGTAAGAACAGTGTAAGACTTCAGTCAAAAAGATGAAAAAAATCTCAGCAACCCCAAACGTTTGATTGATACTATATGTTGAATACATATTTTTGATGAGTATTATAATATTAATACATTGATGATAGGTTTGATGATAATACAATACTGTAAATAGGGTTAGGATTAGTTTAGGGTATGATAACGGTTCTCACAGCTGCATTAACCTAATGTGGCTGAAATACACACTAAAATAGTTTCCTGCAAAACTTCTTTAATGGGGCCAAAAAACTATCTAACTTAAACTTATCTAACATAATAAATGTCTGTAATGAACATTTATGTTTTAGTAAATCAAAATCATTTAGAACAAGTGGTGTGATTTAAGTCACAGACAATTAAACTTATATGAGTCATATTTAGCAAAATAAACCTATTATCACAAATTATGGACAATAGTCTGGATGAAAATTTTTTGGTAAAAACACAGTATGAATTTTGTCAGTAGTATCTCATAAAAATAAATGAAAAATTAGTTTCGCACTAGCAGAATCACAAATTGAACTGTTGAGGAACTGTCAGCATTAAGTTCTTTACAATTGCCATTAGCCACATAGAAACACACACAGAGCCACATAGTTTTTTATGGGTGACCGCGCTGTACACACATTCAAAATGATTCTGTTAGTTTGTAAATCACTCAGAGCTGTCCCAAGGTCATGCTTTTACCTCTTGTGGCCTGTTAGAACATATCTGAGGGGTGGATCTTTGAGTACTGGATGAGGGGAGCAGAGAATTCTGGGTAGGGAGCTCATCTAAAAAGTCGGGTTCGCTGATGTAAAGCACTTCCTGTTTTGAATATGAAGACCAAAGTCAAACAGCACCACACAGAAAGAGTTGCACAAACCACGCCAAAGAGCATTTTTATAACATTATTTGTCCTATCAAACTTCTTCAGATTCCCTCTACATATTTCATGACTGATCAAAGAGGCATTGACATGAAGCTCATTGCCGATGGCGATAACCCAGAAAAAACGTGCACTTCGCCGGCAAGTGGGAGTCGAGTGGATCCCCACGGACACCACCAGCATCAGGATGTACACAACGATACGGTTATTTCAAACCGATGCACTAAATGCTGAAGTACAGCACAGATAGCTCGTGAATTATAATGATTCTACAAGTTCAGATCATAAGGCATCTGTACAGTCCATTCACCAGCTTATAGCTAATGAAATTTGTTTGTCAACCAAAAATAGGTTAACTATTCATCATTCTCTTTTCAGCTTAGTCCCTTTGCTAATCAGGGGTCGCTGCAGCGGAATGAACAGCCAACTTATCCAGCATATGTTTTACGCAGCGAATGCCCTTCCATTACTGGGAAACATACATACACACTCATTCACACTTATAAACTACAGACAATTTAGCCTACCCAATTCACCTATACCGCATGTCATTGGACTGTGGGGGAAACAGAAACGCCAACTGACTTAGCAGAGGCTCGAACCGGCTACGAATTAGCCATTGGTAAATACTGCACAGTGAAGGCTGTTGAATGAACTCACCTCTTTTGTGCTGGTCGGCTTGGAGAAATTCTTTCCACCGGTCAAGCTCTGGTATCTCTTCTCCAGGGAAGACAGTCTCTCCTTTTCCTATAGTCAGATGTCAAAATAGTCACATGTACAATTACAGCAACATTCAATATCATCATTTTGGAGTTTTAAGGTTTATGGATTTACAGTAAGTTAAACTGAATACTTTACAAGAGCTGAATCAACAATTACTTAAACTGAGCAAAGTTACGACAATAATCAATGTGTGTATGTATATGTAGATATATATATATATATATATATATATATATATATATATATATACACATATATATATATATATACACACACACACACACACACACACACACACACACACACACACACACACACACACACACACACACACATACACTCACCACTTTATTAGGTACATCTTACCAGTACCAGGTTGGACCCCTTTTGCCTTCAGAACCGTCTTAATCCTTTGTGGCATAGGTTTAACAAGGTACTGGAAATATTCCTCCAGTTTGCTCCATATTGACATGATAGCATCACACAGTTGCTGCAGATTTGTCAGCTGCACATCCATGATGCGAATCTCAGGTTCCCCCACATCCTAAAGGTGCTCTATTGGATTGAGTTCTGGTGACTTTGAAGGCCATTTGAGTACAGTGAACTCATCGTCATGTTCAAGAAACCAGTCTGAGATGATTCATGCTTTATAACATGGTGCGTTATCCTGCTGAAAGTTGCCATCAAAGATGCATACACTGTGGTCACAAAGGGATGAACATGGTCAGCAACATTAATCAGGTAGGCTGTGGTGTTGACACGATGCTCAATTGGTACTAATAGGCTTAAAGTGTACCAAGAAAATATCCGTCACACCATTACACCACCACCACCAGCCTGAACTGTTGATGCAAGGCAGGATGGATCAATGCTTTCATGTTGTCGCAGCAGAAATCGAGACTCATCAGACCTGGCGACGTTTTTCCAATCTTCTATTGTCCAATTTTGGTGAGCCTGTGTGAATTGTAGCCTCAGTTTCCTGTTCTTAGCTAAAAGAGTGGTACCCAGTGTGGCCTTCTGCTACTGTAGCCCCAAGGTTTGACGTTTTGTGCGTTCAGAGTTGCTCTTCTCCATACCTCGGTTGTAACAAGTGGTCATTTGTGCCCACAGAACTGCAATTCACTGGAGATTTTCTCTTTTCTCTTTTTCTGACCATATAAACTCTAGAGATGGTGTGCGTGAAAATCCCAGTAAATCAGCAGTTTCTGAAATACTCAGACCAGCCCGTCTGGCACCAACAACCATGCCATGTTCAAAGTCACTTAAATCCCCTTTCCTCCCCATGCTCAGTTTGAACTGCAGCATATCGTCTTGACCATTTCTACATGCTTAAATGCATGTAGCTGCCATGTGATTGGCTGATTAGAAATGTGCGTTAATGAGAAGAGGACAGGTGTACCCAATAAAGTGGCCGGTCAGTGTATGTATATACACACACACACACACACACACACACAAAAACCAAAAAAAGTTTCAATAATATTCCTATTATAAGCTTGTCCCTACTGTAGAAAAAAGCAACTTTTCGTTTTTAATTAAAAATGAACAGGAAACTCTGGTCATTTTGAGCGAGGTGCTAATGGTCTAATCCAGTGTTTCTCAACCATGTCCCTGAAGGACCACCAGCTCTGCACATTATCTATGTCTCCTTAACCAAACACACCTGATTCAGATCTTCAACTCATTAGCAGAGACTGAAAGACCTGTAATGGATGCGACATTAAAACCATGCAGTGTTGGTGGTCCTACAGGAATGTGGTTGAGAAGCACTGGTCTAATCCGATTCAATAATCTATGCAAAGCTAAGCTAAGCTAAACGTGCTCCCGCCAGACCCCTAAAAAGCGAGTGGATTTAAATATGGTAAAACTCATCTGTTTAACACTAGGGGAGTAGTAAAAAGAGCCCATTTCCAAAAAAAGTGGTGTTTTTTTACCATTATCACAAATATTGCCAGCTGATCTTAACTTCAACCAAACCTGCAATATTCCTTTAAGTGTCAAACATCAGTGTAGACAGATGTTAATCCTTATACTCAACCTTGTGGAGCATCTGCAGGGCCAGGGTTCTATCTTTGGCCATTCTTTCACAATCCTGAGCTGCCTGAAGTCCAAGTTGGTTAGCCTGGATCTCCAAAGCTGCCATTTTCTCCTGCATCACCAAAAAAAATTTCATACCAAAAAGTGTCTATGCTTTAGCCTGACCCAAGATTTGCAGCTCAATACTGACATTATGAGACCTATAATAGACCTGACATGAGATCAGTGCTATTACCTTCCTTTTGGCCACATTCCGGTGATACTCTGCCTTCTCCTGCAACAGCTGCCTGCCAACCGTCTCCTTCTCCTCCTCAATGCCACTCTCCCGCTCCAACTGGCGAAACTCCAAATCCTCAAAGCGCTTAGTGGCCGACTCCAGTGCCTCCACCTTCTACACACACACACACACACATGCACAGATGGACAGAGAGACAGAGAGGGGAAGACAGAGGCAGACGAACAGATGGGAAAAACAAACAAGCAGACAGACAAATGTTCCTCAATGACATGCCGAAGAAGATCACTCTGTCTGCCAAACAATGATTGCTGAGTGGAACACATTTTTTCAAAACGCATATCCAGAAACAAACAAACAAACAAAAACAGTCAGACATATACTCTACATGGTGCTTAACGGTTGGGCGATTCGCTCAGTTCATTATAATATCAGTGAATTAGTCAGAAGATTTAGTGAATAAAAGGCATGTAAGCAAGAGTGAAAAGCAAAAGACAAACAGACAAATAGATGACATCCATGCATTTCCGCTGCCTATAAGAGCTGAGGTGCATCATAACGCTCGTTGTTGTTCAGTCAGTGTGTAAACCCTTTATTGCCATGAGCATATTGTGGCTCGAGAGGAAGCGCAGACACACAGCCAGCACACACAGCCATAGGATATTTGTGCAATTTGTACAGATCCAGAATCTAACAAGCTGTCCAGTTAAGGCTCTTATTATATCAAGTCGTGTTTGTCGCCCATTAATTGCTGCTGATACTGGAAGGAGATTCACCATATAGCAATGCTTATTTTAACAAGTGTGTTATATTTTCAGTTGGTATTATATTAAAGTAAATGTATCTTGATTGATTACTGATTATTGTTATCATTTTAATCAAAACTGTTTTAATTTGCATGTCAACCTTGCCACGAAAAAAGTTATCGGCAAAATATCGAAACTGTTTCTGCGTCTTTGTGTAAGCATTTATTTTACAGTGCTTTAAAAATACTCTAAAATGTCTCTGTTAATGTTCTCAAACTATAATATTTAATTAACCAGTCACACAAGTGCCAACTTTAACTGGTAAATAAAATAAAATCAATCGTTTTTGTTATATAGTTAGCTAACTATTATCCTATTGATTAGCATTGTTTATTTTGGGTCGTGCAGTTTAATTCACAGAATTACTACAAAGTATGTTGAATACAGTAAACTTAAATACTGTTTTGGTCACATCCATAACACACTTATATTCCCTATTTAAAATATAAAATCTCTTCACAGATTGATATTTTTTGATCCCATTTTTTGAAAAATATAAACAAATGTTGCAATATAATGTTAACATATAATTTCTCTGTGAATTTATGTTTGGAAATTTTACTGCAAATGTCACATCCATAACAATGGAATTGCTCATATATATTTTTTATGTCTATTTTCATGGTGAAATTATTCTGTTTCAAAATAAATCAATTGTAATAACAGCGTAGTAATGAAAGCATAACCAACAATCAATTAAAGTAGAAGTCAGAATTATTAGCTCCCCTTGATTTTTTTTCTTTTATAAACATTTCCCAAATGATGTTTAACAGAGCAAAGAAATTTTCACAGTATGACTGATATTTTTTTTCGTCTGTAGAAAGTCTTATTTGTTTTATTTCAGCTAGAATAAAAGCAGTTTTTACCTTTTTAAAAGCCATTTAAGTACAAAATTATTAGCCCCTTTAAGCTATATATTTTTTCAACAGTCTACAGAACCATCATTATACAATAACTTGCCTAATTACTCTAACCTGCCTAGTTAGCCTAATTAACCTAGTTAAGCCTTTAAATGTCACTTTAAGCTGTGTAGAAGTGTCATGAAAAACATCTAGTCAAATAAATAAATCAGTTAGAAATGAGTTATTAAAACTATTATGATTAGAAATGCGTTGAAAAAAATCTCTCCATTAAAAAGAAATTGTGAAAAAATAAACAGGGGGGCTAATAATTCAGGGGGTTTTATTGTGGTATACTACGCTATATCGACATATGAATAATTTAATAATTATGTAAATGTTTTTGAGAACCTCAGAATAAATCTCAATATATTTCACACTGTGAATTATGACGCAATATCTCAGAACACTTAACGTTTAAAACCACAAAATTAGATTACTTTTTTATTTAAACAGAATTGCAATATCAGTTACTCTTATTAAGTAGAATTGTAACATTGATGTTTTCGGTTTTATTCATTCCTTTATTAAAGCTGTCAGAGTTAATGTGTTTAGTTAGAATCCCATTAATTAAATGTTTAACACCATTACATTAATCTGACGTTACATATTTCATGGTGTTCAACACGAGCAAGGGAAACACCACAATTATCTCTGTTGATGAAGCAGGGCTTTCATTTATACTACAGGAAACAATAGAGAAATGACTTCTGAACAGCTAATTTTCTTCAAAATTATATCCACACTGGACAATTAGAAACCATAATTAGCAGCCTTTAAATTTAATCACCATCAAAATTTGAGCGCTTAATGAAACACATCAAGACCTCTGGAGGACTCTAAAAGCAAAATAACATATTTTCTTATTTAGCTTTCTTCCCAAAAGGACTTTCTAATTAGAATCAACACCAATTATATGTACTAATTAAAAAATAATCAAATAATTTGCTATTATCTCCTGCCAACTCTTTATTTTTCATCATTTCTTTCCTTTCTCGTGTGTCTCTTTAAAGTGATGTAAAGTATATGTTGGATAATCAGCGTGGCTCTCTCGGGCAGTATCAAAGTACACACTGACCCTGGTCAGTTGTTCCTGTAAGTGCTCCCTCAGTGATTCGGGGCATTTATGAAGCTGGCCTTTCAGCTCACTGTACGAGTCCTTCAGTCTGGCCAGGACATCCCGCTCAGCTGAGACTTTAGCTCTCTCCTACAATAAAACATTACACACGTAACACACACACACACAGGTAAAAATACACACTGCAGCGAGCAAGTGTTGGTGGAGAGGGTGGAAACAAAGAGGAAAACGCTAGATAAAGACACCATGCTGTGTTAAAAGAGAGGTTTAGATATAGTGTTGCCATGGCAATCGGAGCACATATTGCAGCAGAGTAAATCTGAGCCGAATAAATATTTATACAGCAGACAGTTCGACTCAGTGCAATATTATAGTGTGTTTAGTTTCATAATTGTGATATTTTTACAAATTTTTATGGTACAATCTGGAACAAAGCCATGTTTTTAGATTAAAATGTCAATTCAAACGTGCACTATTCAGTGTCATCTAGGTTAATAGAGTGTTAGATGTCAGGCTGTTAGAATGGTAGTACACAAAGTTGTTCAGGAGAAACAAACAGGAAAGCGGAAAGCATGCTTGATAGTTTGTGTCTGTTATCGGTACCTTCTCCTTCTCCCTCTGAGTCGCATTTTCCACTTCATTCAGTTTCAGCTGAAGTTGATTGATGATCTCCAGCTCTGCCTCCACTTGATCAAGCTCCGCCCTGCGCTCCCCCTGCAGCAATGCCCTCTCCATCTCCGCCTGCCAATAAAACCACACATTCAACAGTCTGTTCGCTTCCATATGTTTCGGTTGATATGAATAGCGCAGTTCTGCTGAGCAGGCAGAATCCGCCGTTCACATTGATTCCACTATGCAACACCAAAGATGTTTCTATGCATGACAGATGGCCGAGCACTGATGTAGAAGAAAACGACTGGTGATTGAACAGACTTTACCCATTTTGATGTGATTATCTATATCTCTCCTTCTCATTCTGCAGATAAGACAGAACTGAGGGAAGTCGTGGGCTGAATGTACTTTTGTGGACACATTATTACACTGGTGATGGTCTAACCTCTTGCCTGGACTCCTGTATCTGCTGTTCCAGGTCAGTGACACGGGTCTTCAGTTCATCCACTCGTGCCAGAATCCTGAGCCGCTCTTCCTCCAGATACACACGCTCCTGCTGGCCCAGCACTGAAGTATCTTCATGCTGAGAAAGCATTTGTCAATTACAACAAAGTGTGTATTTGTGTGTGTGTGTTATAGTAAGAACACTCAGACAAGGTTTACAACAAAAGAACTCTAGCTGACATTCTAACAGTGACCTAAATGAACGAAAACCATTTTTTTCTCAAAAGAAAGGGAGAATGAAAGGCTGAGGTAGGCAAGTGTTCACAGAGAGAGCAGAAGAAACTAGGTGAATTCAAAAGGGACTAGCAGACCAAAAGAGGCAACTCTGTTTATGTTCCCATATGGAGTTTATAAGAACTTGTACAAGTTTAATGATTGTGTGTTGTTGCCATATATATATATATATATATATATATATATATATATATATATATATATATATATATATACACACACACACACACACACACACACACACACACACACACACACACACACACACACACACACACACAAGATGATCTGCTGCAGTTTAAACCGAGCATCAGAATGGGGAAGAAAGGTGTTTTAAGTGACTTTGAACGTGGCATGGTTGTTGGTGCCAGACGGCTGGTCTGAGTATTTCAGAATCTGCTGATCTACTGAGATTTTCACGCACACCATCTCTAGGGTTTTCAGAGAATGGTCCAAAAAAGAGAAAATATCCAATGAGCAGCAGTTCTGTGAGCGCAAAAGCCTTGTTGATAGACTGGCTCAAGCTGATAGAAAGGCAACTCAAATAAGGTAAGGTAACTCAAATAACCACTCGTTACAACCAAGGTATGCAGAAGAGCATCTCTGAACGCACAACACGTCAAAACAGCTGCAGATGTCCACACCCGGTGCCACTCCTGCCAGCTAAGAACAGGAATCTGGGGCTAAAATTCACACTGGCTCACCAAAATTGGACAATAGAAGATTGAAAAAACGTTGCCTGGTCTGAGGAGTCTCAATTTCTGCTATGACATTCAGATGGTAGAATCAGAATTTGACAACCAACAACATGAAAACGTGAATTTATCCTGCCTTGTATCAGCGGTTCAGGCTGGTAGTGGTGGTTTATAGATGTGGGGGATATTTTCTTGGCACATTTTGGGCCCATTAGTACCAATTGAGCATCTTGTCAACACCACAGTCAATCTGAGTATTGTTGCTGACCATGTCTATCTCTTTATGACCACAGTGTACCCATCTTTTGATGGCGGCTTTCAGCAGAATAGCACACCATGTCATAAAGCACAAATCTTCTCAGACTGATTTCTTGAACATGACAATGAGTTCACTGTACTCAAATGGCGTCCACAGTCACCAGATCTCAATCCAATAAAGCACTTTTGGGATGTGGTGAAATGTGAGATTCACATCATGGACGTGCAGCCGACCATCTGCAGCAACTGCGTGATGTCATTATGGGTCATTTATGTCAATATGGACCAGAATCTCTGAGGAATATTTCCAGTATCTTATTGAATCTATGCTACGAAGGATTAAGGTAGTTCTAAAGGCAAAAGGGGGTCTAACCTGGTGCTTGTTAGGAGTACCTAATAAAATGAATAAAGTGGCCAGTAAGTATATATACTGTATGTTAGTATGTGTGTATATATATATATATATATATATATATATATAATACAATAATGATTGGAATTGAAGAATGGTCATAATTATAAGTTTACCTTAGAAGTTGTTTTTTGTGTTTTATATAATCTGATCTGAAGGTCTGAGGATACTTAATCTGTTATACAATCTGGTATAAATATAATCACAACCTCATAGGTTGAACAAATATATTTTGTTTGCTCATAGAGAACAAATATATTTTAAAGACTATTGAAGCATGCTGAATGTGGAACAGTTTTTTTTTCATTCCTTTCAACATTCTTCAAAATAGCATAGTATATAATGTAATATTAATAAATAAAAAACAAAAATTACCAGAGAACATCATGTAAAAGAAACTAATTTTGGAAGTGGAGGACAAAAGAATATTTGGGTGGAATATCCATTTAAATGCATATTTGTAATAGCGAATTACATTAATATCATTCATATTCAGGTGAATTCTTTTTTTTTTCCCTCTTCAGTTATGAACTTCCATTTCGGTGCATCCTTATAAAACAATGTTATGTTTCAGGGTTTTTTAATATGTGCTCTGTAGTCCCTGTTGTTGATATGCAGTACAAAATGCATCATAATAATAATTAAAGGTATATTCAGGACAGAAAAAATGTGTGACTAATTTGTAATAAATTGCGAGTTAAATCATACGAATAATCATGATTAAATATTGAATCGATTAACAGCAATATTATTTTCTTCTCACATTTGATCTCACATGAAAAATGACAGCTACTCAAGCAGCACAAACTCCAATTTGTGTAAACCCGCTGATGATGTTCTCAAGCATGATATGAGATGATCTAAACTACAAATAGTCGCATGATGAATCTCACAAATTGAATAACCTGAATAGTAACCAAGAATGTCTTTTATTTTTCATTTTAGTCTTGGTCGAAATCTAAAAACATTAGCTCAGAGTCATTACAGTCCCCTCTCTCTTAACCTCTCTCTCTCTCATACTGTAGTTTTTGTCAATGAGTATATGTGTGTGTGTGTGCGTGCTGTACCTCCTGGTGCTGGCTCTCAGTGCTGCTACACTCCTCTTTGAGGTTGTCCTCCTCGCTTTCTCTCTGTCTGTGAGAGCTCTGGCCCGGCACGCTCACAGGGTCAGGGCCCGGTCGCCGAACAGAGACCTCCTCCATCCCCGGGAACAGGCACACCCTCCCTGCGTCCACACCAACCGGAGGATCGCTCTTATTATACTCCGCACACAAATTCAGAATGGTCTCCAGCCTCTGCCTCTCCTGGAAACAAACACACACAAACGAAACACCCTCAGCTGTGCATGCAGCTTTAAAGTGCACAAGAAAACCACACAAAGCCTTAAATGATGTAAACACATGTCATTAACGCTCTCATACACTCTTTTAGGAGCTTCGTGTGGCATGTTCTAAACTCACTGCAACTTGACACCCACAGAACATATCGAAGACAGCGTCACCCTCTATAACATAACCTACTGGGCTCATTCAGATCCAAACATCTTACACAAATCATTATAAACGTAAAATCCTGAATATCCGCAAGGTGCTATGCAAAAATACGTTAACAAATTTCTCTTCAACACAGTTACTGACCCCCAAACATACTCAAGCAACCTCTCACCCGACTGTGAAAGTCAGCTGCTGCAGTCACTCTTCCAGCACTGTGTGCGAGTGTGTGTTTGTCTATGTGTCCCCACAAGTATAGCAATACCAGTAACTTAGGAGACATTGTTTGGTCATAGGCTATAAAAACACACGAAATTAAGTGTTTTGAAAATGTTTCTTGTGAATGTTGGGTTTAGAGGTAGTGTTAGCATAGGAGGACAGAATATACAGAATAAAAGTTACCGTCTATAGGAAGTCCCCATGAAGATAGATGTACAAGTGTCTGTGTGTTCACTGTCTACTTACAGCCTCCCCAGTCTTCTCTCATAGGTCTAGCCAGACTAACTAGCGCTCTAGGCATTGGGGCTCATTATATTTTACATGGACAATACTCAGCTCAGTTTGGCTCGATGACACCAGTGACATTACTAAAATAGCAAGGCACAGGATGGCCCGCTTACAAGAGAGCAGCCGTCCACTTCAGCTAATTAAATTTACTTTTAATGAAGCATGGAATAATTTACGCGAATGTAACGAATGGTCCTGAGACCTCTGAAAACAAACACGCCGCTGTTTCAGTTTCTTTCTTCTGCTGAACACAAAAGAAGATATGATGAAGGATGCTGGACACTTGTAATCATTGACTTCCATGCTATTTTTCCCACTGTGGATATCAGTGGCTGCCAGTTTCCAACATTCTTCGTAATATCTTCTTTTGTGTGTCCAACAGAAGATAAAAAAATCATAAAGGTTTGGAATCACCGGGTGTAAAAGTCTTTATCACTGAGCCATTATCTACAAGAGCAGCCAATAGAACGTCTGGAAACATATGCTCTTCTGTTTTAACGAGGTCTCCCCTGTCAGGAGAGTGCAGACAGTGCACTGGAACAAGTAAACGTTAACTGATGGGTAACGTAGCAACAGCATTCTTCTCCAACAAAAGGGTGTCAGCACAGCTGGTATGCATGCTGGAGATGCCACGACACAGACCAACACAAAGCCCACAGCACTAAACCTCTGTGTGCAAAAGACATTTTATGACACGACCGTCCTCTGTTTGGGAACAACTGCCAAGGTGCTAAATTGACTTCATTATTAAAAGCCTGTAAAGCAGGTTTAAATCATAAAGTGTATTAAGTAGAATTTGCTCCAGGGATTTTGTGTGTAAATTAAATAACTGAAATATTGATCAAGAAAACCTTTCCTCTATTTATTACTCTCTCTCTCTGACACGCATCGATGGCTCATGTGGATTTATAAAAGGTAGACTTAAATTATAGAAGGTAAATTGAAACAGACTCTGACTTCTCTGTGAACAAATGTTGAAAGAATACATTAAATATTTGCAGTGATCAATGTTAATTGTTAAAGTGACTTATCTCTGCTTCAAATCTTGTAAACAAAGGAGAAAAAAAGCAAAGTTCTTTCATTTAAAATTTGATGCCATATCGCCCTCATGTGGTTTATAGTATGAAATGCTTCAGTTCTCTGTCGTTTCTACAATCACACAGACAAGAACAAAGGCAAAATGACCTTTAAAAATTCAGCAAGCCAGACACACATCTCTAAAAGAAATTGTAGACAAAGAGTATGTCCTGCGTGTGTAGTGTAGTCCTACTGGTGCATTGTGACCCACACTTAAACACATTGAATCCTGCTAAATTATTCTACATAGTTAGGATAGTGAAATAAAAGGGAGTGAAAATACTTTCTGACTTCAAAGTCCATGGATCCAATTAAGCTTCTCATTATTTTGGCACAAATTCACAGATCGCTTAATGTGGTTCATATTAAAACATTACTGGTCAAGCATTATGCTATTGTTCATGGTTCATTACAAGCAGTTTTTTGGTCTTGTTTTACATATTCTGCCAATGTCATGTTTAAAAAGTTTGTAAAAATTTTAACAAAGAAGCATCCAAAATTAGGAGTCAAAATCAGTTTTGAAAGCAAAGCAAAGACATCCCATTAAAAAACATAAAAGTAATTCCTATCATTCATTCATTCATTCAATTATTCATTCATTCTCCTTCGGCTTAGTCCCTTTATTCATCATGGGTCACCGCAGCGGAATGAACCTCCAACTTGTCCAGTTTTACACAGCAGATGCCCTTCTAGCCACAAAACAGTACTAGGAAACATACACTCTCATTCACACTCATACACTACAGCCAATTTAGTTTATTCAACTCACCAGCCAGGACTCGAACCAGCGTCCTTCTTGCTGTAAGGCGACAGTGCTAACCACTGAGCTACCAAGTCACCCTTAAATCCTATCGTATCTCAAATTACAAAAGAATGCTATTTTAGTATATAATCATTTCCACATTTGCTAATAACACACTTTCATGAGCTCCAATTCGGCATATATGAGATTTCTGAAGATTCATGTAATACTTCCCATCAGGCACAAGAAGTCAACATGACATCAGATTGATGTTGTACCCCAAAGTTGTGGGACATTGCATATTGTTTGGAAATGAAAATCGGCTTGACGTCTGAACCCAACTATGCATTGGTTGCCAATGTTGGTTGCCATACCTGACGAATAATGTCAGTATTTGACGTCATTATGACGTTGGCCACTTTCCAACACAACCTAAAATCAACATCATATCTCTTCATTATTGGACGTCAAAATAACATTGTCCTTAGATGCTGACGACCGAAAATTGAACCAAATGTTAATGTCGTATGACGTTGTGTATCTGCTGGGTTCATAGTATACTGCATTAATGACTGTTGAAAAGCTGATTAGCAATGTCATTGTCACAAAAATAAATTACATTTTAAATATAATAAATATTGTAACCCAATTAATGTAAAGCTTTAATCAAACTCACAATACTACCATAGTATTGTACTTTCGATCAAGAAATATCAAGCATAATGAGCAACTCCATGCAAATGTCAACCTTAACATGAAAAAAAAAAGTTCTCAAAATATCGAAACCGCTTTCAGGTTTTCTTGTGTAAGCAAGTATTTGACAGTACTTTAAAAATACTCAAAAATGTCTCTGTCAATGTTTTCAAGCAATTATATTTGATTTAGCAAAGTCACACAAGTGCCAATCTCGCATCTGTCACATGCATAATGAAGCTTTTTCCTCCTAAATGCAATACTGTAAAAAAAAAACAATAAAAATCAATTGTTTTTGTTCTATAGAGAGTTAACTCTTATGCTTTTGGATTAGCATTGTTTCTTTTGGGTCGTGCAGTTGAATTCACAGAATTTGTACAAATTACGTTGTATACTGTAAGCTCGCTGTATTTTTTGGCCACATCCACAACACATGCTATAATGTTGACATGTGCTTTCTATCTGAATTTATGTTTTAAATTTTTACTGCAAATATCACATCCATAATGCTGGAATTGCTCTGATACCTCATTCTTACTCCAATATCAAATAAAGAATCTGTCCCTGAAAGCCATACAAGTTGAAAGCCACTGTTAGGAAACAGCTGTCTGGAGAAAATGTGTATGTGTGATAAAAGGTGGGTGGAGCACAACAATGCTACTACAATACAACACATTTTCAAGCCAACTGGGCCATGACCTAGAACTGAGTAAACACAGACACGTGAGGGGATTTGAGAGTAAATATGACATTACCCCTCAAGCCACATTATTTATTGTCAGGATTAGAAGAAAAGATCAAATCCTAAAGGATTCAGGATTTTCTTTTCCCACTTGTTCATAATTTACTTCTCGCTTTTATCTCATCATCTCCCAAATGCTTTGCCAGTCAAGTACTAGACAAAAGTGCTCCTCGGTTCTCAGCATATATCACACTTGCCCTGCTTTAATCCCTAAATGCGCGGTCACACGCGGCTTGCATTAGCACGCTGCGAGGTCACACCTTTGAAATGTCATTTCTGAAGCTAGCAATCAATGTCTGCATGCATTTGCATTTGATGGCATTAGAGAGGAGATTAGCGCTAAATACAGCTCAGCAGTGCCACAAGTTCTTTAAAAAGGTGATATTAACCAGTATTTAAAAGGGCATTCGACAAAAAAAAAAGAGTAGTACTACCTTTCAAGTTGCAATACCATTGGATAGAGCTGTGCTGTAACCATGACAACAGTGCCAGACAGACAAGAGACCACTAGACAAAGTTTAACCCAAACAGAGTAAAAGCGTGTTCATAATACACCTACCGTTCTTGCCATTGTCTCGAAACGCTGACCAGAGACGGTTATTATGGAAAATGACTTCCTATCCTGCATTAATTCAGTTCTGCCTCATAGTAAAAGTCCTAAAATAGTTTTTCTCCAGGGAATAACAAGAATGTGTCTCCTTTCTGAGGCAGCCGCATATAATTAGGTTTCTGCGTGTATTGTATTTTTTTGGTTGAGGTACTTTACTATGAAGATATCATTGATACGCTGGTTAGAGGCACTGATGATGTATATAATTTAAGGTATAAATAAGGTGGGGAGTAACAAAGATGATGAATGGCAATTCCATGTGGGAATCTGAGATGGACCAGAGGAGTGTCTGGGGTTTTTAATAGGTTTAAATGAAAGAGATGATGTCTGTGTGTGGTTAATTTAGGGGCTATGGAAGGGATGAATGTTTAGACTGCTAAAGAAGGACTGTGTGTGTGTGTGTGTGTGTGTGTGTGTGTGTGTGTGTGTGTGTGTGTGTGTGTGTGTGTGTGTGTGTGTGTGTGTGTGTGTGTGTGTATGAATGAGGGAAGGGCAGCTTAAAGCACTGAGATTGTGTCGGGTAAATATAGTCTTCAGGCAGCCACACGTTCTGTACATGAGCTTTTGAAAAGGCCTCAGGAATTCACATCCGTATGTTATTCCTGACTCTTCTATGTCTTTACCAGAAAACTCTCCACATAAACTTAACCCGCTCAACCTCCAGTGCTGAACTCTTAGGTCTGTTCAAATGCCAGCGTCACTCAGAACCTCACCACACAAAAGATCATCACTGCTCTAAAGCAATCTAGAGCTTCTTCACTGAGGTTACTTTAAAAACTGTGCCAAGCATTGCATTTACATAATTTGATATAAAAGAGAGCCTAATAGCATATCCCACAACAACATTGTGACATTTGAATAAATTAAAATTCAAAAATATGTTAAAAATCTTACAGTTCCTTTTAGAAAAAGTTTGAACACACTTAATGAATTCATGTGTCTCATGAGCTTGAATCTCTCACTCACTCACTCACTCTCCTTGGCATATTCCCTCCTTTATCAGGGCTCGACACAGCGAAATGAACTACTTTGACCATTAGTTTTATGCCCTTCACAGCTTAAAAACCTTTTGATCTAAAGTACTTTGCTTAAATGTTTAAATTAGTTTTAAGGAGAAATATATATTGAATATTAAGCACAAATTACCATAATGGCAATATTAGAAAGGCGATTTATTCCCATTACTAAAGTCTTCATGATCACATGATCCAGAAATGATTTTATGATGCTGAAGAAATATTAATTTATGATGCTGCTTACCATATTTTCGGGCATGAAAGAATGGCAAATAAGAACACAATTTTGACATGGGGCCACTTGTAGTTATGTGTAACATCTCTGGAGGTGTGGTAAGTGTTTTATATGGAAACAACGATGTGAATTTTTTTTTGTAATATTTTATAAACACAAAGGTTAGAACAAGAGTAATCATTTAAAAGAAGAGCGTTTTGTAACGATATAAATGTTTCAATCTTTCGATGTGGTAAATTATGGCTTCTAAGTTAAACCTAAAACAAAATAAAATCTCGAACATGGTGTACTTCCATTTTGTAATTTTGTAGTTAGATTAACTTGGACGTAATATAATAAAAAACAAATGTGTTCAAACTTTTGATAGGTACCGTAAACGCACACATGCTCAGATGTTATGAGGTATGGTAGATGTATTTTGTGTAAGCATCGTGTTTTTTAGTAATCTTTTATAAAGACTAAATTCATAAGAAGAGCATTAGATTAAATAAGCGTTTTGTAACAATATAAATGTTCAACTAATGCTTTGGTAAAAGTCATTTAATAATTTGATTAGCTTGGACGTAGGCCTGGGCAGATAAACGATATTATATCAAATCGCAATCCAATTGATGTCAATAACAATGATTCAAGACTTTTTTACTCTATATTAATCTAAGCCAATCACATAGCAGAAATGTGCAACAATGGGAATCTAGAAGAGTGTTGATATTAAAGACGCACGTTTTGGCTGCCAAAAATGATCGACCACCGAAAAATAGTTATGCTATTTAATGGACCCTCTCATTTTTGTGGCTTCAGTCATTATATGATATATAATAGTCACAAAAACACCTGAACATGCCAATCAGTGTCTTCAAGATCACTAGAAATCTATAAGCAGGTGTGTTTGATTAGAGTTGGAGTTAAACTGTGCAGGACACCGGCCCTCCAGGACCGAGTTTGCCCACCCCTGGACTAGAGTGATCAAGTCTTTTTCTATGCCATAAAATTGAATAAATTAAGCTTATATAAATATGACAGAGGACTTGGTCATCATTGTATAAATAATTTTATACATTCATTAATTAATTCATTAATTCATTCATTCTTTTTTGGCTTAGTCCCTTTATTTTTATAGGGTCTAATTGTATACAATAATATAAAAATAATATTAATCATATAATTTTTTTCTTTTAATCTTTAATTCATTCATTCATTCATTTTCTTTTCGGCTTAATCCCTTTATATATCTGGGGTCGCCACAGTGGAATGAACCGCCAACTTATTCAGCATATGTTTTACGCAGCGGATGCCCTTCCAGCTGTAACCCATTCCTGGGAAACATCTATACACACTCATTCACACACATACACTATAGACAATTTAGCTTACCCAACTGACCTGTACCACATGTCTTTGGACTGTGGGAAAAACCAGAGCACCCGGAGGTACGCAGAGAGAACATGCAAACTCCACAAGGAATATACACATTGCGATATAGATGCGTGACCCTGGTGAGGTTACTTTTTAAATCTGGAAACATTAACAATTAATTTCGAAATATACATCGTCATTGTTCAATATCGAAAAGAATTAATCGAAATTGCATCTTTGCCATATCGCCCAGCCGTACTTGGATGAGAAATAATAACCATGAAATTTTGACAGGTAGCATAAACGCACACATGCTCAGACGTACCAGCCTCTCCATCTCCTGCTCACGCATCCTCTCCTCCCTCTGCCACCGATGGTACTCAAGCAGATCTTCCTCTTTGTCGCTGACCTCTGAAATGCTGTTCTTGCGCTCCCGTGTCCGCGGCGGGACCTGCCGAGCCTCCCTTGAGGCCTTCCTCTGGTTACGAGGACTGGTGAGAGGAGACACCCCTGTCTGAGAGCCGACAGCTGAGGAGAGTCCCCCTTTCTGTTTACTGCCAGACTGGTCCTTCAAAAGAGTTGATACAGGAGACGGACTCCTGGTGTGCAATCTCGTATTTCCAACTTCCTCCTCAGCTGTGGTTCGTCGTTGTAGACGAGGACTATCTGGTACAGTCCGGCCACGAGAGGACAAAGACACACTTGGTAGAGCCACAGGTAGAACAGGCACCCCAAGGATACCTCTGCGTGATGTGGATGGGCTGAGGGGAGGAAGTTCACGGATGCTAGATGTTTCCACACTACGGCGGGATGATTGGGGACTGTCTGGAGGAAGGAGTGCACGTGAAAGGGACTGAATACTGGAAGAAGATTCTTGGACTGATGAGCCTATGCTGGATCTGGGGCTTGAAGATGCTGAAGATGAGGAGGTGAATCTGGTGTTTACCTGTCTGCCTAAGTCTCCAGGTACCAGACTAGACCCAGAGGTAGAACCATGTGTATTGTCACCTCTACGGTTTGCACCAGGACTTGAAGGGGTTTCAGTCAAGGCTTTTTGAATCCTGGCACTTTCTTGATCTTTCAGACCCCCATTGGAACTGCAGTTCTTGGAAGTAAAATTGCGTGGTTGTGGCACTGGGGCCTGAACGGTATGGGTGTAGCTGTTTGAGCGGGTGTTGGCAGAGTCCAAACAAGCCCCTGGACTGCTAACCATGGAAGGAGTAGACAGGGGGGAATAAGGAGGACTGGTATTTTCGTAGCTGGAGCTTACAGACAAAGCACCAGGACTAGTTGGAGTGGAGACAAGACTGCGGCTGCTCCCGTTGAGCATGGCAGACTGTGGAATGGGGTGACGGGCTTTTTTACAGTGCTCAGCCTGGCCATCGTCCATAGATAGAGAATTCATAATGTCTTGAAAGTCCTTCTCAATAGAGCGCACAAGAGTGCCGGCTCCAGGACGAGACCGCTCATGTAGAGGAAGGTGGTTGCCATTGAGCTGCCCATGAGTTTCTGTGGCGAGAAAAAGGGAATCGGTTATTTATAACAAATCTAAACTAACAAACAACAGAATTCTTGAGCAATAAAGAATTATCATAAAATGATCGATTACAGCCTTTTATGATCTATAGAAATGAAAACAAACATAACTCAGACTTTCACTGCAATCTCGCAATACATATGAAAAGTGCATATTCAAAAAGGTCAGGGCCATATTTCTCTCAGACCACATGTGCTCTACACCCATACAGGACAGGGCTGGGCATAATGCACATAAACACACACCTCCCCCTTTCTTACACATTCGCTCAACTGGGTGTGTCTCTGTCTACAGACTGCGGATGGCAGGAATCCCACCCTCTGCCCAAAGGTCAGAGCGGACAGAGGAGAATAGAGCCTGAATTACGGTATGACTCATTCTGCACACTCAAGACCAGCTGAACGCACTCAGTTCGGTTAATGCTCTGCAGCCAGGGCCACCGGTGCACTAACCACGCAATAAACACGTTATTTTTATCAGAGCCATGGCACAGTGGACAGAACAACTGCTCACAACACATACATGAAGTGACACTTTTGAGCCAAAATCATTTTATTTTCAAATGTTGATTATTGCTGTTGTGCAAATCAGACATTAAAGGGCACCTATTTTAGCCCTTTTTAAGATTTAAGATTAGTTTTTTTGTGTCTACAGAATGTGTCTGTAAAGTTTCAGCTCAAAACACCATCAGATTATTTGTTTTACCTTATAAAATATTAGATTTTCAGCTCTGAACACAATGTAGCTGTTTTTATTGCCTTGTGATTTTATTGCTAGTTCTCCCTGCACACCGTTCCCACATGCCTGTCAGAGTGTGCCTCAATCTCTGCCTCGGCTGCGTCAGATAAACAGCACAGTGACAGACTTGAAGGAAGCAGATGTCACGTAACGTTCGTGAGAAATATTACAGTAAGAACTTTACCAATGACTGTTCGATGTATTTCTTGTGGAGTTGCAATGATGAGTCACACACAATGTCGCTACAAAGTTCATGCACACGCAGACACACACACAGTGCAAACTTTGCACTGTTTTTGCATGGCAAATGTGACAGGATACACGTTAATATCCACTGCTGTATGGATATCCGTTATGCTAATGTACAAAATAAACCTGATTTGACGTCCACAAACCGAGATTCAAGCGTCTTCTTTTATAATTGTACTGACATGCAGTTGTGGTGATAAGGTAAAGACAGTAAAATTGCTGTATTGATCACAAACATGCACTGATTTAGAAACGTTTTAAACTTGTAAAACTCATTCTTGATCACATTTGATGATGATTGATGATCACAGAGAGCTGAACAGATCTTTTAATCCCAGTTGCTTTGCGCACGTCCTGTCTTGTTGACTATACGTGTTACTACGGCGACATGTTAATACGCAGCTGTCAATCAAAGGGATTTGGATCCTATTTTTACATCAGGAAATTAAAAAAAGAGACTTCTTGCCTTTATATCACCCAAGTATGACTGTAAACACTATACCTACACACAGTTCTGTCCAAACAGCTTCCAAAAGATGATTTTCCCTTTAAGGCTATGATTATTTTGGGAAACTTTGGTTCTGCACATAAACAATTAGCTGCACTGATTCTATTTCTTGAATTTATTGATGAAATTGGCTAAAAATCGATATAAAAGAGCTAAAAGAGTTTTGAAAATTAATAAATCATGTGAAGTCTTAGACGGATTTAACAGCATCTACTTCAGTGCAGGACTCCGCCGTTAAACCTTTTTTCACATTGCTTTCTTAGGAACAAAACTCTTCTAGTTTGCTCATAGTGTGTGCTCTATTTTAGTTAACCATTGCTTAACTGTTCCACTCTATACTATGGCTACTTTACTAAAAGACATTGGTAAAGATATTGTCAGCTTTTTGCCCTTAAAGTGTTTTTATATATAGGAATATTTTGTTATGTATCTCATCCTAAGTTTCTGAAGCTAATAATGGAGACACGAGCCATTGACATTAGGTAGAGAGGAAGACATTAAGCATATGAATGACCATAGTCTGTACTGTATGTCTCCTCTTATTTTAGACAAACTTAAATGAATGATTCAGCGATTTTTATATCAATGTCATGCATTGTTTATATAAAACTGTTTCATTGATAAAATCAGAAGGAGGACTGATCATTTTTTCTGTGTGCAAGTGTACATCAGTATAGGACAGGCAGTGTCAAAAAGAGAGATGTGTTTGCCATTTATAGTATTGCTTTTAAATGTATTAGCTAGCTTTGTAAGATTTTTTGTTATTTTTTTATGGTTCTGTTGTAGGCCCTCTTAAAAACAACCGTGCTTTCATTAACTAAACAGAAAGTGTTCAACAGCCGTTTAGTTGTTTAGCACTTTTACATTTAGTACTTTGGTTGCATATGGTTAGATATAATGTATTTTAATTATCAAATTGTACAATAAATCATTTAGGTAAATCCACTATGCCATACATAGACCAGTATCCATTTATCATGTGATTTCAATGTTTTACAACAATACTGAATGGCAGACCCTCAGGCTCAAGCCGATAAACAATGATGCAGTAAGCAGTGAACACCCACACAAGCTTCACAACAATGTGATATTCATCACTGTCATGGTGTCACGTTCCTGTAAATGTCCAATATGGTGCTAAAGGATTTTAAACTACTAAACAGGGTCAGAGCCAAGGTCACTCAACAGGGGCTTTCCAGCAGTTGACAGAGTGCCGGAGGCATTCAGATTCTCATTCTTTACAAATTAGCAATTTCTTCTCCAAGGATCTCACTTCCTGGGTTCCAGATTATCGAAATAACTCAAAGCTGAATGACTGAGAGCAGTGTTAAAACCGGGCAAAGACACAGCTGGAGTTTCCTCCATTACCATGGATATTAAAGAGGCAGGATTATGCAGAGTTATTTTAGGCAGATTTGTGTCACCTGAGCAGTGTCTGGAACTTGTTATAATTATCTAGGGTACAATGCCTCTCTGTGGCTTTTTTGCTGCAACATTTAGTGATGAAAACTGACAGAATGTGCACTATTGTTCACAAATGTAACTCTCTTTTTTTGATTCCCTTTAACAACTTTAACTCCCAGAGCATCCAGAACAGTTGTCTTAAACGACCAGATTTTAGGTCACTGTAATTCTGCATAAATACCCGAGTGGTTCTTGTAGGTATTGGTGAATCCAGGACTTCCACCTGGCATCAGACTCTTCATCCTGAGGGCCTCCTCTGGGTGGTTAAAGCGGAAAAAGGATGACTGGCCAAAACACAGCATACACCCTGAGAAAAAAATAAGCACATGTTAGCAAAAACTAGACAAAAAAAAAATTACGATTATATTAAAAAAATATTTTATTTTTCTGTACTAAATATTGCAATATGAATACTGTTTCAGAAGATGGTTTGAATAGCTCAATTTGATGGTTTTCTAGCCAGTCTAATGCTTTTCTTACTTTGTTTTTTCTTGTTTCTAATCCTAATCACAAAAAAATCTGACCAAATGAAAACATTTAGTTTTTACCATAAGAAAAAAATAAGTGAAAATTAAGAGATTTTGCTTGCTTTAATGGAATTATCTTTCAGTGGGGTAGGTGAAATACTCTTGTTTTTGCTTTGAAATGTAGACACTTGGACTAGAAACAAGACAAAAAAAATCAAAGTAAGAAATGTTTTATTTTCTGTATAAATCAAATAAATTCTATTTAAATACAGTGATTAAATGCAAATCTGTGGCTCCTGGTCAACTATAATTCAGACATATCTATGCGATGTGACAATTGCGGATGTGCACATTGTGATACCGATGCTGAAACAATATATTTTGCAGCCCTACTCTAGAAAATAGCTTGTACAGCGTAAACATTTTTTACAAATAATTTTTCAGAATAATAATTAAAAGGCTATTTAAAAATAGTAATGATTAAAAAATCTTTGATCTAGTGTGGCTTTCTGTTCTGTTTTTTTCTATGGAACTGGACCATAATCCATCTTTTCTGGGATCTCAGCCTATTTGTTTAATGCACACCAGTTTTTCAATGATAGCAGTCACATTTATTTAAAACAACCACACTAACAGAGCAATTGCAACAGAAACTGTTTTACTAAAAACCTGCCAAGTGTGAACACATTCTACGATCAGAGTCACCAAATTCAGTCCTGGAGGGCTGTGCTGTATCTGAATTCGCCCCCTTTTCACTCATTCACTATTTCCTACATTGTTCACTAATATAATCCACTTAAAGGAGTAAATAAGTCAGTGAGTTTGAGCACTCAGTGCACCAGACAGGATGCCGATTTGTTTGTGTTTTGCTGAATAAATCGCTCAGATAGATTAGATTTTCAACTTCTTGGTCGAACCCTGTGATAGTTATTTAACAGCGAGCTGCGTATTAGTAATCAGAAGGGAGCACTGATATTGTTTTAAGACTTTGTAAAACTTTTGGTTTCTGGCATATATACAATTGTTACTATAATTGAATATAACTTTAAATAATTTTAAAAACTAATAAAAAAATTTAACTAAAAAAACATTTTAAAAAAATAAATAAATAAATAAATAAAGTACAATTAAATAATATATAATTTTTAACCACACACTGTTTTTTTATGTTTATTTATTTTAGATCTTGTGGTCACATGCAAAGATTCATTTGTTGCAGGAACTCTCACAGTGCATTATGGGGATTTTCTAGCTGTTGAGTGTACATGGGTTGTACACTCGTTATTACTACTTTGCATTGTGAGATTGATTGAGTGCACTTTAAATAGCGTCCACTGTGGTTTTGCACACTACAAAAACTGGCTGCTCCCTCAAATAGTGCACTATAGTACAGGGGTGATTTCAGATACAGCCCTCGTGTCCCTGCAGAGTTTAGCTACAACTTGCCACAACACACCTGCCTGGAAATTTCAAGTATACCTAAGAGCTTGATGAGCTTGTTCAGGTGTGTTTGATTAGGGTTGGAAGCTGGAGCTTAACTCTGCAGGACACCAGCCCTCCAGGAACAAGTCTGGTGACCGCCTGCAGTCTATGTTATACCAGTAAAACAAATTTTAAAAGGAATGAAGGCCAAATAATATCTGTTTAAAACTAAGTAGGAGTTGTCACTAATAACCAAGAGCACTGAATAGAGCTGATAATTACTTTAGGAAAAGTGATCTCATGCTTCAAACTGCTGATATTGCACCTTTATAATATGACTTTATTGTTTCAAGGTAATCTGAATCCAGAATTGAACCAAACAATGCAGGGGTGTGGATGAAACATAATAAACAGAAACAAAAAGCAATCAGTACAAGATACACACACAGTGTTTGTGTGGCATGAATCCTCATGTGTTTAAACATTTTATTGTAACTAATATCCAAGCTTATCTGTCCGTATCATAGCAGTCCAAACATGAGATTAGACTGAGTTTGTCTATTAGCAGAAAAGACACATTTGCCTCATATACATTCATATCACATTGTCCTCTGCCCCTATGAAAGTGCTGTGATTAATGGAGCAGAGGGATCAATGCAGTCTGTCAAAATGCCAGTGAATTATGACCCAGACCTCCATTTCATAATGAACATTGGCACGGAAAGCACAGAGAGAATATAAGATCAGTGTGACTCATTGCTGACTTACAGTACAGTAGAGGACAGGATATGACATGCAACACTAATATGAGCTCCACATAATGTCATTGTGTTTTCCTACACACAAGATGCAGACCCCTTTTTAAACTCTGATTAACCTGTCTTCTAAATTAAATTGTATTCTTTTTATGAACATGTCAGAGCTAAATCATAATCAGTGTCTGTATATGTTAGTATTAGTATTTAGGATTCAACAGGGCTGCAATATTTCATTAATCAAGCTCGTTCTTCAATGCATAACTAATCTGAACATAAGGCCAGCCTGAAAATTAACTCTGAACATAAGTCTGTACACATACTAAAAATATGGTACAGACACAACATGTTAGGTCAAATCACTGATGACAAATTATGACCTCTATTTACATAGCTAAAGACTAAACAATCAAACAGACATATGGCACAAGAGGGCAACCAGAGGGGTCAGTGGGCATAATGAGGTTAAAAAAGAGTTTAGCTATAATTAATGAAAAATATCACTGATGTTTATTATTAAATTAATATTAAAATATTAATGTTACAACAAAATAAATTAAATTAAATACTTAATAGTTTGATTATATTATTTTGAAAATATTAAACAAATGTATTAGTAGGCTAATATCCAGTTTTTAATGACAAAAATGTTTAAACAATAAATAACATTTAATTCCTTGGTGTAAAAACTGTTTTTTATGACATAATACTCAACTAAGATAGTTGAAAACTGCAAGTTAATACGTAACTTATGATACTGACTTAAACATTAAAAGCAACACGTACGCTTACACAGTAAAGTTTGACTATACTTTATTGGACTAGCTATTTAACAGGCAGCTATAGTTGTATTAATCTTTATTAACATTGACCAATACTACGAGATTAAACGGCGGTCATGGTTAATCGATAGTGAGAAGTAGCTAACCTACAACGGCCAATCTCAATCTTAACAAGCAATTAACTTGTAAAATATTAAAGATAAAACAATGCCACCTACCACGTTAGGGAACAAAACTGCAATTTACATCCAGTGGGTTACAAACACGGACAAACAGCGGACTGTGTTTCTGTGAAGCTCTCTCGCGTCGCGTGGAGTAAAGTGCGCTGAGCGCGTGCGTGTGTCCTCAGCTTTGTGATGCAAATATCAAGAGCTACGAGAGCGCGTCCACTCACTGACTTCTGCTACAACACAAAACTGCACAGCTGTCACCTGCCCGCCTGTCATCACAAGCCCAAAGAAAACGGACAAGATAAATAAGAAGCACTTAGCTAAAACCGAAATTTAGTTTCCTCGTCTGGAGAAACTCTTGACGTTCAGACGCTAAAAGTTGCTTTTTGTTCATGTAAACCGAACATTTGAGTAAAACCGAGCTTTGAAAGAAATGCAGGTCTGTTGAGAAGGGTTAGAGACGCCTCATTAAGACTAATGTATTATCAGTCGCACGGGTGGCGCGCTGGACAGCTGTCCCCGCGCCGGCTGTCGGTCTCATGTTATTGTCATGCACAGATTGAGAACAGGGGGCGGACTACAAATCAGCTCATCTGGATCAACACCATCACTGTCCTTTAATTCTCGACCTGGTATTAAATTAATGACACTAACTAAACGTCAAAAATTATCAAATGAAACTTGTTAACAAAGTGATTTGTCAATAGTCTTTGTTAATAACAGATAGCATATTGTGAGAATACAAGTAAACAAAACATCATATATCTGTTACAATACATTTCCCTAATATATAAAGAGGAGATTTGATACAGAGCAACGCAAATTTTAGAGTGATTGAAATAACCCAATGGAGAAGGGCAAGGTCAAGTTCTTCAAATGGAAGTTCAAACAAGCCCTCGCCGTTATCATGGTGCCATTTCCTGGCCCCGTGAAAACACAAATAGCTGGTGTGATTCCAAACTTAAATGGAGAGCCTGAAATAGCTTAAAAGAGTATAGTGTAAGGTCAAGTACTTTTTCCAAAAGGTATGCTCAAACACAGCCTTATCATTATTTACACAAAGCGGTTACACGGTTCTTTTAGCTCTAGAAAAGCAATCTGCGCTAGTAATGATCAGGTGTTGAGTCAGCTATTGCGTTATATAGAAGGTTCATACTGTTCTGAATGCAACTCTATTTTACTTACAGTATATGATGACTTCTAACTTTAGAAGCAAGCAGACCATGCAGTCTGATAATAGCTGCAACATTTGCTCACCAAAGCCGTAATCCTCTCTTGATGAGTGGAATGGAATTTGGAAATGTGTGTTATTGATGTGCAGACTGAATCTAGCCTATCGATTAACTGTCAACCGAGCTCAAGCAACCTGAAAATAAATGTGAAAATCCTTAAGAAATTTGAACATTAAAGAACCATTAGCGAGACATAATGAGGCTTTATTGAACTTAAAAAACAATAATGAATGTATAATTAGTTGCGGGTCTTCTTGGAATCAAATGTTTCCATTTCAAATTTCACGTTAAAGGGGTGGTACATCCAAAAATATGAAAAGCCATCATTTACTCACCCTCCAAACATGTTTGAGTTTATTTGTTTTGTTGGAAAAAACAGCAATTGACTTCCATATTATTCTAGTTCCTACTATGGAAATCAATGGGTGCTTTTTTCCAACATTCTTCATAATAACATGTTTTGTTTTGTTTTAACAGAAGAGAGAAATTCATGCAAATTTAGAACCACCTGTACACTTGAACATGACTAAATGATGGGGAAATTTACATTTTTGTGTGAACTATCCTATTAAGAATGTGTTTACACTTGTTGCTTAGTTGCCTTTATTTTATTGGTCTGGACCAAGATCGAAAACATAACTTTTAATCTTGGTTCACACAGCATTTCCATCCTGTTATTAAACTAAACCTGAATAATATAAAACAAATAACAGCTTTATGATATATTTGCGACATCCACTTCGAATGTTATCACTCGATTGAATGGACGTTATCAATGGTTATCAGCTGATAGATGTGGGCCAGTAGGGGCCTTATGCGCCTAATGGAAGGCTCAGAAGGCTGTTATCTATCCATAGGGTTAATCAGCTATATAGGGAAGACTCCAGATCCAGATCTGTTTTTACATTACTGTGGTGGTTGGGTTTAGGGTAGGGGTAGACATTAATAAAATACAATTAATAGGAAATTAAATAAATAATATCAATAATTCTTGTTAACTTCTGGCCGCAGCTGTATGTGATGTATAGCTGATTAACCATGTGGATGGATGATCACAGCCTTCTGAGCCTTGTATTAGGCGCAGAAGGATCCTACTGTCCCATATCTGTCAGCTGATAACCACTGATGTCACCCATTTATTGAGTGATAACATTCAAATCGGCTGATTTGCAACCACATTAATAGGGGTGAATTCACATAGAACTCGCATTTTCTTTAAATTGCACTACGTTTCTGTTGCATTTTCCAGAGCTGAGCATTTTTTTTCTGTTGTTGTCAATTGAAGCGATGCAGTTTTAAAAAAGTGTTGACATTTTCAGCACTTCGCTGTATACGCGCCCTAACTGAACATCCAAAATTATACCTTACTTGTTACATCGCATCTTATTTTTTGTTATCATAGTTGATTTTGGTGCAATATTGCATTCATATTTAATTCAAAGCATCAGAATCTCAGTCTACTTGTTTGTTTTTTCTGAAAGAGTGAGTGCACTAGGGTTTGTTTCAACCTAAGCAAATGAGCTTGATATCAACTAATAAACCCTAGACCAACTGCAAATCCACTGCTTACCTTGTGTGATATTGACAGGCTTGGTAAATGGTATCTTCATAATATAACAATAATTGTTTAACATAAGAGATTAATTCATACAAGTTTAGAACCACTTGAACATGGGTAAATGGTGGGGAATTTTTTTTTTTTTTAACTATACCCACTTCGTCACCTTAGAATGATAAAGTTCTGTCTGACAGTTTTGTTAAAATTGAGTTACTGACATTTTCCTATTAAATGACAACTTAATTACATTATGGGATGTTTTTTATTAGTTGTTTACATTTTATTTAAAAAACAAATTTTACACACATGCTGTTTGCTATTGAATGCAAAAACGAGCAGATAGAACCTTATAATTATAAGGTGATGACTTGTAGCTTGGTTTTCTTGGTTTGATTTGTCTGGACCAAGATGGAAAATATAACTTTTAATCTTAGTTCGGTCAGCATTTACACATTTTTCATTTTAAGACTAAACCTAAATATTAAAAACTAAAAAACAGCTTTTTGATATATTTGCGACCACATTAATGTCGTTCAAACAAAACACGTTTTTCCTTTCAATTGCACTACTTTTCTATGCATTTTCCAGAACTAAGCATTTTTTCTATTGTTATCAATGAAAGCGCTGCCTTTTACCTGAAGTGTTGAGTGCTCAATGCTTTTTATATGCGCAAACAGTTGGAGAAGCGCTCACAGATGAGCATTTTTAGAAAGATTGTTAACATTTTCAGCACTTCGGTGTATACCGGGGGTGTCCAAACTCGGCCCTGGAGGTCCAGTGTCCTGCAAATTTTAGCTCCAACTTGCCTCAACACACCTGCAAGAATGTTTCTAGAAAGCCTAGTAAGAGCTTGATTAGCTAGCCCAGGTGTGTCTAAGCTAAAATCTGCAGGACACCGGACCTCCAGGACAGAAACTGAGAATGCCTGGTGTATACGTTCCCTAACTGAACATCCAAAATGATATCTTACTTGTGACATTGCATCTTACTTTCTGTTTTCATAGATGATTTTGGTGTATACTGCATTCATATTTAATTCAAAGCATAAACATCTTCAGTTGTGCTTAATCAACAGAACAGCACTAACAGAGTGAGCGGGTTTGGTTCAACCTAAGCAAATGAGTTTGATATCAACTAATAAACCCTAGACCAACTGCAAAAACACCTTACCTTGTGCGAGTCTGACTGGCTTGGTAACTGCTAAGCCGTCCATTGAGCACTGGTTTCCACAGGGGTATAGAGTGATGACTGCCCCCACATTCTCAATGTAGCAATGTTGAGACATCACACCAGGACCCTGAATATTAATATCTGTGTTCCCATGACCAAGTGTAGTCTTTCCTGCAACATAGAATCGGTTTGTTAACACTGATTACTGCAGCATTTGGTGTATCTAAAATTAGGTTTGAGAAACAATGTCTCCCGGTTGCCCGAATATACCCTTCTTTAACATAAACACAGGAGAATAGACACCCCCTCCTCCAGTGACCAGCCCTGTCTGAGTTATTTCATTCAAAGTGTCAGTGAAGCAGATGCGTGGAAAAGAGCCATAACCTCAGCCAATTGTGTGAGCAGACGTGACAGAGACAGTGATATGAAGACAAGTGGCAAGAGTGGGTGTAGGCTGCTCGTTAGACTGAAGATTAATGTAATTCATTCTTTTAAAAAAAGCTTTTTAAGGCACTCATACACATTCCCTTAGACAAATGTGCGTGCTCTCACTCAAACGAGCTACGTCACACAGAGTGAAGCAACAGGGGGTTGTGTCAAAGTCAGGTCAAAGACTCATAATTCTTGTGCTAAAGCCACTGCCATTGTGAATGCAGTTTACAAGACACAGCTGAAACATCACCGCTCAATCCAAAATATAAATGCAGTTAAATAATAAACAATAACTTATTCATTCTTTTTTTTTTTGGCTTAGTCCCTTTATTAATCTGGGGTCGCCACAGCGGAATGAACCACCAACTTATCCAGCATATGTTTTACAGAGCGGATGCCCTTCCAGCTGCAACCCATCACTGGGAAACACCCATACACTCATTCATACATATACACTACAGACAATTTAACTTAGCAAATTCCCCTATAGCGCATGTCTTTGGACTTGTGGGAGAAACCGGAGCACCCGGAGGAAACCCACACAAACATGGGAAGAACATACAAACTTCACACAGAAATGCCAGCTGACCCAGCCGGGGCTCGAACCAGTGACCTTCCTGCTGTAAGGCAATTGTGCTATACACTGCACCACCTTGATGCCCAACAATACAAATATTACAAAAAATAAAATGTCTATCCAAACATCCGTCGATGCATTTGTTAGTCTGTCTGTCTTAGAAATACAAAAAAAAAAACTATAATTTAATTCCAGCACATTTGAAATGTGGTTTTGGAACATAATTATATGAAACTTAACAAATGTGCTGATCACATGAGTGATCACACATATATTAAAAAAAATAATTAAAATAATACCTTTAAATAAATACATTTATATTTTATATTGTGTTATATTTTAACACAGATCATATCAATATTACCTATAATAAAAATAAAAAACAACCTAAACAACTTATTCTGAAAAAGTATCGCTATATACATTTCTGGAGAGCGCCAAATATGTCCCAGAAGATACTTTTTAAGAAGTTTTTGTTTTCGCAAATCCACCAGGGGTCGATGTGTATGCTTTTTCAGATTTCTCGTGAGTGCAATTTACGCCTGCTGTTCTCACATAATTCCACAAGAGGCAGCTGTGCACGACTTTTCAAATAGTGTCATTCGCACCTGTTCTTGTCGAATAAATCTACCAGGGTTCGCTGTTGACTGACTGACTGAAAGACTGACTGACCAATCGACTGACCCACCATCCTTCTTCCCAAAACTCAACCTATAGTGTAACCCAACTGTTTTATAAATCATACCAGAAAAAGAAAAGCACTTGCCTGATTTTACCACATTTTCATATTTTACCACATTCTCAACCTGTAAATTACTTGTTTATTTAATTTTTTGGCTTTTGTTTTTGTCTCACCTGCTTTCTGAAACTGTTCTTTGCCAGACTCCATTGTCATGATCAACTCCTCTCTACGTTTCAAGTCTGCCAATGTACATGGCGAGATACTGGACAAACTAGCGAGAAAGCCATTCATCCTGAGGTAAGCGATCAGCTGGTAAGTGTGGTAATTAACTTGGCAATCATGCTGTCCCGTATCATTCATTATTAAGACGAAATGCAGCCATGTGTACTTCTGGCTACATATTTCGCAATCTTCAGAAATGTATACAGGGCTACGTTTTTAGAATGAGCCAGTGTTGCAACCAAATACTATATACATCAAACATATAGACAAACACAATATAGATTTAAAATACCATAAAACAAATTACAAAATGAAAATAAATGCACATATTTGAATTATTTTCGTTATATTTCAGTCTGTCTGTCAGCCTATCCATCCAACCATCGCTCCATCAGAGCACACGAAACTGTGTATTTATTCAGCCCTCTATAAAATGATCCAATGATGGATTGTGCACTACATCCACTTCCTCTGGGATTTACACTTGAATGCTTGCTCTCATTTTTTCTCAATGTCAGGGGAGGAGAAGTCCTCTATTTGTCATTCTTCATGAGACGAAGCACAGCCAAGCTTAAAGGACAGTACAGTAAGGTTTGTCCTCTCTCATGAACTTCCTGCACAAAAACTCAATTAAATCTAGAGTGCCCAGTTTTTCACTTGGCATCCTCTCTGTTTGTGCTATCACAGACTGTAATTAGGTCTCAGCACTTGAAAGAAGCACTGCCACTAAACACAGATTCCACAACCAACCACATCCTCAGTCAAACGACAATGTTTACATCTAATTGAGTAGATAGAATCTGCTGACCACTTCACCAGGGTGTGTATTGTACTTATTTACTTTGTACATGACTGAATGTACCTTCTGGCAGGGGCAGCAGGGTTATTGCCGTACTCAGACGTCCACTTCCCAAACTGACAAGATGAGGCCGTTCTGCCTGGACTTTTAGAGTCTTGCCTGTTTCAATCAGGTCCAATGGCGTGCTCTGTGAACATATAAGTAGAGTTCAGTAGACCTTTAAATAATGGATCATATTACAGCCTTTGATCACCATTAAATTGACCTATAGGTTTCTGGACGACTGCTTGAGCTTTCCAAAATACGATTAATATAATTCAGTTATGGCCATTGAGTACTGCAACAACAGGGTAAGAGGCTAACAAGGCTAAATGGGTTTAGCTCCATCAGGTACCACCATGCAGGATAAGAGGCTAACAGGATTTAGTGGTCAAATGAAAGACAAAGGATCAGACCGATAAATGACCAAAGGAGTAACATATTTGGCCTCAGCATGTCACAGATGGAGGGCAGCATGGGGATTATTTGCTTGGTAAATCACACTTTGATGTCTGAGAGCGTGGTGCGGCACTGCTCAACATGGAAACAAAGTGTATAATTAATGTTTTTCTTAATCTTATATAATTATTGATCGTGTGGATTTTCTGATGAATGTCCATTCCAAGATGGAGTAACACATATACTTTCTTATATCTTTATGATTATTTATAAAGTTTAATGTTTAAGAGCCTAAATTATATGATGACCTTAGTGTCATCGCACTTCAGAAGTAAAACTGGAATAATTTGAATGCGATTGATTTTCTGTATAGCATATTATTTGTTTTCTCGGGATCTACCCAGGCAGGGGTGCAAATTCCGTCGTTACAAAAATAGTTAGCTTGGGCAAGTTTGGGCACTTCCCAAGTCCATTGTTCCAACAAACATTCGCAAAATGCATCGCAAACTTGTATGCTTGCACATCTCTGGAGCTGTAGTTAGAAACATAGTTCATGTGTTCTATTCCCAGTTACCCCAGTATGCCCTATTTGTTTCAAACATTCTGACATTTAAGTTTGGAATGATTAAAAAACAAAACAAAAAAGGTATAAAATCATCACTCTTAGGTGTAATTTGCTTTCAAAGTATTTTTACAGTTCAGTTTTAGCGATCTTCATGTTTACAATTGCGCTCCCTTTGCAGTGCACTTTAAAAACATTGATATCATTTTAAACAAAGCCTTGGCTAAATTTATGTTACCTCTCCAAAGCTTGTGAAAACAAAAAAAGTATATGTTAATGCTTGTAATTTATTGTAGGTTATTTATTAAGTATATGTACTGTATATGACATGGGCCTGTTGATTAAAACATTTCTGCATGGTTTACATGTGTCAAATTGTAAAAGTAAACTTTTAAAAAATAAATAAATAACAATATCCTACTTAATAACAATAATAATAATCATCATCATCATCATCATCACCATCATTAATATTATTAATATTATCATTAAAGTATGATTTTTTTATTTCCTAATAAATAATAAATTTCATTTCTTTATAATTGACCTAATTATTGATTTATGTATTTATATGATATTAGAATATGTTTGTGCAACAATATAATTTGTACAAAGAAATAATGGAGTTCCTCTCTAAAGAAGTTGCTACCCTGTTTAGAGCAACATTATAGGCATTTTATGTTATAACTAACCTGGTTTAGAGGAACTACGGAACTACAGGTTTTGGGAAACACTTGTCACTACATTGTTCTTTTCCTAAACTATGCATCTTACTGTGATAATTCAGTCGTGTTCAATGTTTTAAAGTTAACTTCTTTGTATGTAAGCTGCCAGTTTAGATGTAGATTATACCCGTTTTTAACCAGTTTTGATAAAGTACACTCAGCCTTGGGTAGGAAACATATTGTAAGGAGAGCCATCTACAAAGTCATTGTGAGTGTTGAAGCTGGTTTCTGCTGATGAAACTGCAAACTATCTTTAGTTAGCTTTCTTTTTAATTCAATCTCTGACTCTGACTCTTCTTCATCTGACAGACTGCTCATTTTGGAGTTCAAATTGTAAATTATTATTGTGGGGGGAACTAAAGTGCAACCAATTGCTGATTGTATCTGGAAACTTCACATTAGTCTTCTCCCATCTGGGATTTAATACTCTGAATGAACTAGGGATGGAATGACCACTGGGAATATCCAGTAGCATGGATGTAAATCAAATTTGAATTTAAAATAAACAAAAATTTCTTTCGTTAAAAGCAAATACTCTGATACTATTAGGATGGACAGAATTCAAGTTGAGTCACAATTAATACAATAATTTCAGACTAAACAAAACTGTATCTATTGAAATTGAAAAGACATTAAGCTAAATTTGTGTTTAATGCTTCTGTCCAATTTCAGGGGTTACACTCTAAACCAGAGAGGCCCAAACTAGGGCTTGTGGGCCGAAGTTGCCCCATGAAAACCTTTGATTTGGCCCACCATCCCATATAAGAAGAAAGGGAGATTGATGGTAAAGTTGGGGCGAATGCCTTCAACAAAGCTCGCAATTTCTAATTGTAACGTAACCTCTTGTTTGTTTGTTTAATTGTTGAGAAATAAAAAAAAACAAATGAAATATTTCAATTAAACTTTATACTTGAATCAGTTTTTTTTTAAAAATAAGTTAAAATCCTCAATGCGCAAATCAAGTGTATTTAATGTATTCAGCATTGAACACCATTGTGTTAATGGGATTGTTTTTTTTTTATTGCAAGGAGTTTGTTATAAAATGTAAAAACATAATTATCAAAGCGATTTTTTTATTTATTTTTAAATATTAATAAGTTAGGGAATTACTATGGCAACATTAATGTAAAAGTTAGGTTTATTTAACTTTGGCCCACCACCCTTAATCAAGTTTGGTTTTTGGCTCTTCATAAGGAAAAGTTTGGAAACCCCTGCTCTGAAGCATTTAGAGCTAGAATTGCATCTTTATATAACACTTATATATATATATATACATATATATATATATATATATATATATATATATATATATATATATATATATATATATATATATATATATATATATATATATATATATTATTACACTTACAGTATAATACACATTAATTTTGACCTTCAGCAGGGATTCTTTCCATTTGACAAAACCCTTCAGAATCAACAACTTCTTTTCATGCATCTTCAAAGTGTCTTTAGATGTCATCTTTTATCTTTTTATAAGAGTGTTTTTTTCTTTACATTTTGTTTTTTTTCTTCTGTAGAACAAAGAAGACATTTTCACAGAAATCTGTTATAAAATTGATAGTCAGTGACTTCCACTGTGTTTTTATATGGATGTTAAACTACCAGCATTCTTGAAAATGTTAATTATTATGGTAGTCTGAGTGAACAGCAATACAGCTTTATAACACTATATGAGTTCTTTTTAAAATGATTAAATGTCACTGTTGTTTGTTTTAGCTTTCATATCTTATCCTGTCATCTTTTGATATTAGGGCTGCATATAAAGCTGCTCCACAGCTTCCATTGTCTTCTGACATTTTTCTTTACGGGCGCCCCAGTCGTTTGTGTTTCTCTGTGAGTATTTAACTAGTGAAGTTTTAACAGGTGGATTGAACTAACTTAGGCTTGATGTTTATGAGAGCCTGTAATGTTTGATTGGTGGAATGCAGTGCAGTGTTTGAGCAAGATTGCATGCAGACAGAAAGGCTGAACTCAGCCTCTCAGAATGACACTAGTTAAGGTCAACCCTATAATCAAAGAAGAGTTCACCTCTTTATTTTTGCTTCCTTTGGAGTTCAGAGACTGCGCTTTAAGAAGCAAATACTAGGTTTTACAGTACAAATACTTACCCCCAGGTGTTTAGAGAAAAGCTTTGTACACATTTTTACGTAAATTAAAATAAAGTGGAAGTGTAGTAAAATTACAGTCTTTTTTATTTTGGACGAACTATTCCTTTAATGAGTCTGGAAGAAGGTTTAATCTTACTGGAACAAAATTACAGGTAAACAGAAATATTGTGAAATTTTAACACATTGAATTTTTTTTCAGTGGCAAAGCTAATATTTTGGGAGGGGTAATCATTAATCCAGTCTTCAGTGTCACATGACTCTTTAGAACACATTCTTTAATTTGCTGTTTTTGTGCTGATTATAATGTAATTTGGTGCTTATGTGTTCTTAATTATCATTGTTAAACTTTGATGAATAATATGTTAAAAAACAACATTTATTAACATACATGTAATCAATGAAAATCCATCTCTGAAAAAAAAAATTTATATCAACATATGAAGAGTTCAGATGTAAAAGCCGCTAAACACCATTTCCGGCAAAAATGAGTTAATGACATTAAGTGAATGCTTTAGGCACGTAGTACACTATCAACAAATAGATTTGCTTCAAATCATCTAAATCACAACATCAGCGCATTCAGAAATAACAGTTTGTTGGCAAAAGCTTCAAAACGCCACCTGTCTTTGACAGCAAAAGCCGTTATATCCCGAGAACCAATCAGAAGACGCTTATCGAATTATATGTTTTCAATGTAGCAGAACGCTGATACGCCAACATTTATGAAGGGAACTGGATGAGCCTGTCTGACTATCAGTGAATGTCTAAATGAAAACAAAACGTCCCTTACCTCAAAACTCATTAAAACTCATGTGCATTATAAGAAAAAGAAAACACACTGTACAGTCGGAAGTGTAGCATGCAGTCATAACGTTTTTTTGAGCAGCGATGCTACTTTGAATGAGTCTGATTTACTATACATTAAACGGCAACTGCGCTTCACAAAAGACAGAGTTAGGATGCCGTTCTTTTATCCCACATAGATGCTGAGGACAAAAACAAGAGACCAAGACCTTAAGTATGATGAGAATGAATGGATGACAGCTGCTAAAATTGTCTGAGAGGCATCAGCTTTTTTACCCAGTAGGCCTACCTTGTGGTTTATTTGCTAATGTAAGCTATTTTTAAAAGATAAATATAATGTATACGACTTCACATTATTTATATTACTTCATAATACCTACATGTCTGATAAGCTGTTCATAATTATGGACTATGCACAGATATTGATGTTTAACAATGTTTTTACACTACATTATTTGAAATTTAACAAACTTAGTTTACAATGTTTGCAATGTTTACATTGTTCTACTTACATTACATCTAAATCCCAAATATCAGAAATGACAACAGATTGTTAAGATTTAATTAATGTCAGTTTTAATGTCATTGATTAATGCACTTACTTGACAGATTTCATTTATTCATTTTCCTTTTGCTTTGTCCCTGGTTTATCAGGGGTTACCACAGCGGAATGAACCGCCACTTACTTGACAGATTTATGTATTTTTAATTTTACGTGTTTTATGTTTGGTAAACAAATGTATAATTGCATCTTTAATAGATTTTTAACTAAATACACTGTCTTGTCTCAATAGGTGAATTTAGAGGTTTTTGGAAAAAAAAAAAGCAGAAGTGGATTTATCTGGTTTCGACGCAAAAGAAAGTCTACCTTGTTAAAAAACAAGGAATTGTCTAAAGTGATATTTTTGAAAAAAAATTTATTTTATTTACTATTTAATAACCTTCTTATTATCTGTCAAATGAAACTTCTGAACCTATTTATAGGAGCCTGATAGAAAATGCTCATTTACAAGAAAGAATCTGATGGGTTTAGAGGGTTTTGCATCTGAACTCTTCATATATTATTATGTTTCAGCTCACCTGTAGGACCTGATGTGTCTGACGGCCTTGTTCTGGAACATTGCGATTCATCCTGTCCATGTCTACGGAATTATCAATCATTTCTTCACACTCATTAAGGTCCTGTTGAAAAAGGGGATGAATAGCCAGATGTTTTTGAAAATCCAAAATAAAAAGAGCAGTTCCTTTATTAAGGCAGATTAAGGTAAGTCTCATAAAAATGAATGGAGACTTTCAAGTCAAGTAACTTGTTGTACTGTAGTAACACAATCAGACTTTTAGATTAAATATGCAGACCTGCCACAGTCACAACACTTTTAGCTTGTGTCTTAACAGTGAATAATCAAATCAGGTGTTTCCTTGTAGTAGACTAAATACAGTCATGCAGTGATCCAACAAATGCATACTGTGATTAACCAACTGTGGTGAACAGACTGGAGTCTGCATCTTGGTTGAAATACGCAGCATGAGTCAGTGTGACTCATCTCTCGCGCACACACACACACACACACACACGCACACGCACGCACACGCACGCACACGCACACACACGCACACACACACACACACATTGAACAGATGCAGCCAATTATCTATGGTACAGACACAGGCATATTAGCATGAATAAACTAGAGTAGACTTCAGGTCACTACACACATTGCTGAGGATCAGTCATTCTGGTCTTTCCCTCACCTCACCTCTGAATCATTTTATTGTCTTTCAGACAAAACACACAGGGAATTACAGCAAAACAGACCCGCAGGACAAACTACGCATCTGGACTTTTAAATGTGTGAGTGTGTTCATGTGTATACAGTAATGGTCTTTGAGAATTTGTGCAGGGAACATCGATAAGTAACTTAAATGATGAACAACAAAAGTGTTATTGGTTAAATTCTCAGGACTAAAGTTGTAGGATCACTTTTCTTAAAATCATTTATCTTTTAGGACAACGTTTTATTGATTAGGTAGTGGTGTAGCTGTCAGATTCAGAACATGTGAAAGAGTCAATAATTCTGCTGAATAAGGACATCTTGCTCTCATTGTAAACAGCCAAAATGACATACTTTCATAATAACATTTTAAAGTTTTGAAATAACTGTTTTAAAGGAAGTTCTTTTCATCAAGTCATACTTAACTACAAACTATAACAACTGGATGATTTTAGCTTAGTTTAGACAATTTTATGAAGAGATAGTTCAACCAAAACAGAAAATAATCATTTATTCTCTTTTATGTGGATTTAAACTTTCATGAGTTTCTTTCTTCTATTGAAAGAAATTGACTGTCATAGGAAAATACAATTGAAGTCCACCATCATTTTTTAAAATATCTTATTTTGTGTTTAACAGATGAAAGAAACACAAACAGATTTGGAACTAGTGAAAGATGAGTAAATGATGACAGAATTTTCATTTTTGATCAAACTATCCCTTTAATTGTAGAGTAGTCTGTATTGGTTAGCTGACTTCAAAATTTAGTGGAGGGCAGTAATGCCTCCAAAAGTAAATCTATTACCTCGGCACTGGTTCTGCATAGAGAGATGAAGGCATCATTATTCTTATACAAATTACATAAAGTTGCAACACTATTTCTTTGATTAAGTAATAGTAAGCAACCATTTACAGTCAGATCTAAATTGTTCTAAAGTGGCAGTAAAAATAACTGTAAAAAAAACCTTTGCTAAATATTTTACTATATATTTTTCTTGATAATATTTTAACATAAAACACAGTACACTATTCTCCTCAGATTCAGAACAAATGATTCTAAAGAAGAATTAATTAAGGACATGTAATGTCGCTTGTAAATCTTTTAGTTGAATTACATTTCTTAGAAGATGAGATGGAGACATATTTTTTCTTAAAATTATGTAACTTCCCTATTTTATTATTAAGTTATTATTTCAAATCAAATTCCCTAACAGATAACACTGTACACTGTACAACACTATAAATTCTCTTTAGATTCAAAATAAGTAATGATAATTCAAAAAATAAATGACTCGTTTAAATTGAAAGCACTTGTTCTGATTTTAAACAGCAAAACTCAGGCTAAATATTTTACTATGATCATTACAGTTAATAAACATTGTATTTCTCAATAGAAATGTTATATCTCATAAATCTCAATGATCAACAATGATATTGCATATTTTTTTCACAGAATCATGCAGCCCCATACTGAAACTAATATTAATTTGCTTTACTTTCCAAACTTCAATCATGTAAATGCAGCTTAAACCAAAAAAACATGAACCGCCACCTTATCCAGCATATGTTTTATGCAGTGGATACCCTTCCAGCTGCAACCCATCACTGGGAAACATTCATACACACTCATTCACACTCATACACTACGGACAATTTAGCCTACCCAATTTACCTAAAGCGCATGTCTTTAGAGTGTGGGGGAAACCGGAGGAAACCCACGCGAACACGAGGAGAACATGCAAACTCCTCACAGAAATGCCAACTACCTCAACTGAGGCTCGAACCACTGACCTTCTTGCTGTGAGGCGATCGTGCTACCCACTGCACCACCGCCTCACCCAACAAAAAAATATATGACAGCCTGAGCCAGAATGCTGCAAAAAAGTAATTGTCTTGTTTCTAGACCAAATATCAAAAAAATTCTAAAACCAAAAAGCATTTTCTAGACAATTAAAGAAATATTAATATATTAAGTTTTATTTTCATAAATAATACATCAAAATAACATGACTTTTTTTTCTAAAAAGCTAAATAATCTGCTACTTATTTCAAAACAAAAACAAAATTTTTAAGAAAATCTCACTTAATTTTGACTTCTTATTTATGAAAACAACTACAGATTTTTAGCTTGTCTTGACAATGCCTTTTAATTTAAGATTTTTAGATATTTAGACTAGAAACGAGAAAAAAATGAAGTAACAAAAGCATTTTATTGCAGTGAACAGATTACCTTCTTCTAGTTGTTCAGCGATTCAACTCTTTCCATGGAGTAACTAAGAACACATTTTTGAGAGGTGTTTTAAAAGACAAAGCTGTGAGAAATTAATTCAAGAAAACCTCTGCTGGCATGTCCAGTCAGAGAAATGACTGGAATGAGACGCTTTGCCTCTCCATACAAGCGAAGACAGGTTAGGTACCGCACATGCATATTGATTAAGTCGATGATGGACGGTTAGAGTCTTTAACTTAACAGCTGGTACAAAACCAAACTTCCTCTTTTCCTCCTTCCTCCAGCTAACCCCTCTCTCCCTGTCAGTCCTGATGTCATGTTCTCGAGTGCAGCTGGCAAGTACAACAGGCCGCCTCTCACAATCACGTCCAGTGTGTGACACAGAGAGAAGAAAGAACAGAAAGCCTCAGTCACTATACTGAATATGGCCACTTCTTTCACCACACACACACACAACTGTACAATACAGAGACACTGAGATTTACATACACAAATGTACCTGTACAGAGACAAACAGAACTCATACACACAAATCTACACTTCAACTGGTGTATTTCATGCCGGTAAGTGGTTTCTTGCCTCTGAAACCTGTCATTAAGTCAGTAGTTATGCCACAGTGTCCTGCCCTCTGCAGAAAATAGACTCAACCACATAGCACAAACCACAAAGCTCCTCTTACAGGGGTTATAATCATACAGGCTACACACACACACACACACACACACACACACACACACACACACACACACACACACACACACACACACACACACTTATATAGACACATGGAAGTATGCTGGAGTTACGTGGAGAAGTGAGGAAATCACAGCAGGAACATACAGCTAATATAACACAGCTAAATGTATCCCGGACAGTACAGTAGGTGAATCTGGGAAACGGAAACCAATGACTAGAAGCCTGAAGGCCTGGTGAATTCTTCAAGTTAATCTTGCAGGGGGAAAACAATCAATCATTTTCAAAACCAATAAAAGAAGCTAATACTGTTAAAGATGTAAATAAATACACATAATAATATATTCAAATCCTTATATTTACTATTTAATATTAAAATGTAATATTAAAATAAAGAATTAAAATATGTTATAAAATACAGACTTAATTTATGTTTGAGTTACTTTGAGATATTATGACACTCATTTTCTAGGCACAAATCTGATGAATACTATGCTTGATACACTAATATATATCACAACATTTACCATGAGTTCATAATCACTCCTTTCTAGCTTCCAAAATCAATGATGTGGTAAAATCAACCACATAAATGTGTTTAGAGCTGGCAGAAACACTAAATACACAGTTCCGATGAAAACATAAGCAATATGAAGCCCACTCACCATGTTTTTAGCTTAAGTAAGACCTGTTGCGTTGCTGCATGGCCTTGTTTACTGACAGTCTCTTTGCTATGTCCTGTGTTTACTCCTTTGAGCCTTTAGCTGACCGTCTACAGTCCAGCTCTCGCTGTTTGTTTGTCTCTGCTGCTCACTCATGTCTCTTACTGAACGCTCTGAAGTTCTGGAGGACAGAATTACATAGTACTAACACAGCTGGGACGGAGAGAGAGAGGGAGAGAGAGAGACAGAGAGAGAGAGAGAGAGAGAGAGAGAGAGAGAAGAAGAAGAAGAAGCACTAGCTGAGGAATCCAAATAACAGCGTCCAGGTGTGCAGTCTTTCCAAACACCCATGAACAAAAGTCAAGTTTATGTCTAAATATAGAAAGCTAAATCACGAGGTATACCGATCTACAGCGTCAGGCAGAGGTCAATTTATTTGAACCTGACTCACCTAGGTATACTACTGCTGGATTTACAGCTCAGAAACAAAGCACAACAGAAAAAGTATTGAAGGTTTTCCATGTATTATTTATTTCAGAAAAAAATTACTTGTTTATTATCTTTGTAACTACGCAACGAGCACTGAATGACTGAGTGACCCCTGCTGGCCTTATGTTGCGTTATTCACATTTAAAGCTGCAGTCAGTCAGTTTGGGCTCTTTGTCTCTCTCTCTCTCTCTGTTTGAGATCTGCAATTGCAGTGTTTTTGTGGAATTATCATGTTTGATGTTACACGTCTTGTGCATTGATAGTAGTGTTGTCACGATGCTGGAATTACTGGAAAACTACAATATCTTGATATTCAATACCATTTTCGATATCACGAGGGTAAAATAACACAACATTAAAAGTATACAATTTTAGATTAAAAAATAAGATAAATAATGATTGAATACAGGTTTGTGCCATTTTTTCAATCTTCTCCAATCTTATCTTCCTAACAGACTCACAACGTCATAAGACATTAATATTAGATTGGATTTAGGTCTTGGACAATGTTATTTTGATGTCCAATAACGACATACAATTATATTCGTTTAAGAGAGTAAAAAAATGGGTGTGGTTTACAGCAGAATATCTAATTTTGTGCTCAACAAAAAAAAGAACTTCATAACAGTTTACAACCACTTTAGTGAGTAAATGGGGAAAAATGTGTTTTATTTTAGAGCAACCTTTAGACAGCAGGAAACATCTGATGCATGTGCAGATTCTGTCTTTAAAAACTAAACACTGAAATTGTATTAAAACTGCACATCACCATCCTTGCAACATATGGCCGTATTTCCGACAGATTCAAGCTTACGTACACTTGTGTATAACGGAAAAGACCTTGATATTCCAGGTGGAGTCTCCCTACTCACTTCCTGTTCTTCCCTCCTCCGCAGAAGCAAAACAAAAATGGTGTTTTCCACTTGATGTTCAACAGCTGTGAAACTGCTGATGTGACTCACTTTCAGAGGATTTGTTACATAATTAGATTCATTTGTGGAAGCAAGATGTAGGGAACTTTAATAATGAACAAAGTTGTCATGGAACTCCAAAGCAAACATTTACACTTTGTCTCTTAGTCAACATACAACTGAGTGATCCATCATAAAGACTGATTGGTAACAATCCCAAAAAAACATGGGAAAGCCATGAATCAGAGGAAAACAACTGTCTGGTGGAAGAAGAGAAAGAAAGGCTCTTTTTCCACGGTTGTTTCCAGTGAGTAAGACAGATGTCAAAGGAGTCCAAACACATTAAAAAAAATGAACACAAACAAATCTGAGCAGCAACCAGGCAACCACAGCTGGAAGAGGAGCGGACTCTTCCGGTGTGGGTTCCAAAGCGGGGTCTCTTCCTGTCGGATGACCCTGTGATCTAAGTACTCACTGGGAATAAACAGTCTCCAGCTGCCCCCTTCTCACCCACAGCTGAGGAAAAAATGTCAATATGCTTTATAATTTAAAGCAGTCCTCTGTTTTGAGCCTTGTTGTGGTGCCAAGTTTAAGTTATTTATTTGCTTGTTGTCCTCCAAGTCTAAAAACTCCAGTGATTTTATGTGGCAAAATGGTTATTCCACCCAGAATATATTACAAAATAAACATGTGGACCATTAACTTTATATGTCCACATTTGAGGCTGGCATGGTCAGCACATGTAGTTGGAAAGCAAGCAGGCTGCTGGATAACTTTCTGCATTTCTACGCTGGACTGCTATCTTGGAATAACACGTGATATCAAACCTAAGCATTTTGTTCTTACTCATAACTTCTCTGACGGCGGGAACATGCGGGATTAATCTCTTTAAACATTTTGCACCAGTCTAGTGACTTATTATAGCATCAGAAAAGCAACAAGGCGTCAGAAAGATTGACCACAGATCTCACCCCAGAAAACAGGCACAGTGCTTGCGTGGCAGAACTGGCTGAGATCAGAACTCTGTTTATATCAGAGCGTGTTTGTGAGAGAGTGAGAAGAAAGACTGGGTTTGTCTCACTGGCACAGTAGTATGAGGAAAATCTCTTTAGAGGATCCAAGAGGGAGTACAAAGTTCTTGAATTCTCTTTTGTTTTGTTTTCACCAGCAACCATTAGACTTAAAATATCTACATTCAACCATTTCCTGTCTTGCCTATTTCTGTCAAATATTTCACTCTTTCTTGCACAAGCAGACTGATATGTCAAAACTGAGTGTGACATCCACATCCTCCATTACACCTGCCCTCATACCACTCATTAAAGTGAATGGCATGAATAAATTCAAATGTAACTTGATCTGTCCTATGTTAAACAAAAGCACTACGTTAAAACATCACAGCTCAATCTTAAAATCAAAACAAAAGATTTTTTTCTGTTAAATAACACTGACAACAGTGAATATATGATAATTGGTTTCAAATTAGTTCACATGGAAAGAACCTATATGAGGATATACGGGTATATATGAAACCTATATGCAGTATACAGTAGAAGTCAGAATTATTAGCCCCCTTTGATTTTTTTCTTTTTTAAAAATTTCCCAAATGATGTTTAACAGAGCAAGGAACTTTTCAAAGTATGTCTGATAATATTTTTTCTTCTGGAGAAAGTCTTATTTGTTTTATTTCAGCAAGAATAAAAGCAGTTTTTAATTTTTAAACACCATTTTCAGGACAAAATTATTAGCCCCCTTAAGCTATTTTATTTTAACATATATTATGAGCTATAATATCCTGTCTTGTATATCTTGTAAATAATATTTTAAACTGTGCAATTCTTGAATATTCTGTGAACAATAGTTTAATGTAAACAATAATTTAGGGAAAGTAACTGAAAATATTTACTTGAAAAAATTTGATTGATTGGAGATTCTGAATGTCAATTTCGAATTATTTTGGATTAATCACCCAGCTTACTTCAGATATATTGTTGGCTTTCTTTAAAATGTAAGTTTGCAGACATAAATGTTCAGGTTCAGTCCTATTTAAGAGCCAGAAACTAGATAAAGCTTTATGATGCTTTACCGTTTTGCTCCAAATAAGACAAGCCCATATTAAAATTGTGAATTTTGAAGATGTCATGTTTAATAAAATGTATGCAAGTAAAAAAAGACAATAAATTTGGGTGTGATTTTGTGAAGATTACGTTGTAAAACTAAATGTTTTTTTCCTCATAAATTCTATTGCATTCTATTGCAGTATTTATAAAAGTCATGGTCACCTTTGGTGTGCACCTGATGACATATGACTAACAGTTAAATATCAGTTATGTTCTTAGATTACAGACACATTTAGAAATTTCATAAATTAATGTGTAACTGATCTAATAATTTTCAAAATATCAGAATCTGTGTCTTTGTTGCCGCTTTTTTAGTTTCTAGGAAAAATAAGGTTTCTTGGCATTATAGTACGTCACTTAATCCATGTATTGAAACTAGTCCTTCCAGCATATGTGATTATATTAAATTTGACTGAACTGTTTTTTTTAAAGTTATAATGCTGATTGCTTCAAGTTCACTCCCATGTATAAGGGTGAGAAAATTGGATATTTATTTGCAGTCGTATATTAGCATTTCATCACGTGGTCTTTAAAAGTCCTCAAAGTAACGGAGATGTGAACTATGAGGATTGAATGAACAAATTTTTGGATCACTGCAGGACAAAAACATAGTCTGAATTTATAGTTCAGACACCTAACCTCAGCTGTTGGCTAATATATGTGGGTCGTCTATAACTGAAGTGTTGTTTTCACATAACACTATGCAACACCTGGAACTGGATCTGGTTAAGTCTTTTGATTTTTTGCCATAGATCGGTCAGTGAAAGGGCTGTGGGTGTGCCGTCTAGATCTGGAGAGACCCAGACTGACTGAACGAAGTTGTGAGCTTTAGGAGAAAAGCTTGAGCCATCATGCCATGGTCACTAAATACTGTCAGCCTCAATTCCTGGTGTTTAATTCCTTCTTTTTGTTTCTCCTTTATTTTTTTCTATCCTCTCCCTCTTTCTTTTTTAATCCCCAACATGCTTGATGTGAAATTTTATAAACTGCAGAAATAAAACTTTACATAGTGCAAAACAATAATTGGCCCTTCATTGTCTGCTATATGCAGTGTCAACTATCTGCATGTTCTCCACCTCCACCTTAACTCTACTCCCCTAAAACATATATAACAGATGGGACAACACTGCTTAAGTCACACTCTTGTAGACTTCTTTGAAGATGCTGTTTGACTGCAGAACAACAAACATGTTCTCAAAGGATTCAGCCTGAAATGAGTCTCCTAGATTGGGTTCTGAAATTTTCTACCATTTGGTGCAGAGACCGGAGTCACAAATTTCCTACAATACACATACACTATCTGACAAAAGTCTTGTCACATATCTAAGTTTAAGGAACAACAAATAATAACTTGAATTGTAGTTGATTATTTGATATCAGAAGTGGCTTATATGGAAGGCAAACACTTCTACATTATCCTTTTTTAGACCAAAATAAAATATGGTCATGCCTTTATTTTTAATAATTTCATTAGAGCAGTAAGGTCTGACTTTGCTTAGACAAGAGTCTTGTCACTTAACAGAAATAATGTACAGTATACAATATAAAGTCATGGTGCAGTGGAAAAGAATTAATATTGTGTATGAGGACTGTTCAAGGACTGTATCTATACATCTCTACAATAACTCTAATATCATATTAATAAAGTCGTCTGGAATGGCAAAGAAAGCATTCTTGCAGGACTCCCAGAGTTTATCAAGA